AAAATTTATTTAATTACCTTTATATGAAATTAAGGATGTTACAAAATTCATCAAAGTCTTATAAGTTCTAGAATTAACACTTAAAATATTTACAGAACTTAGTCAATTTAAAATGTAAATCTCATAAAATATTACAATACTTCAAATTACTCTAAACCCTACAGAGTAATCTTTTCTTCCAATAGAATTGGACTATGATCCTAAAACATATCAATCTTCCTTTTATTCTCTTCAATTTTGTCTCCTGAAAATGATTAGTAAGAGTGAGTGTTTCTCATCCCACTAAATCTCTTATTTGATAGAATAATTATATAATACAAAAAAATATTGTCTAATGCATTTATAACATACCTTGATTAAAAAGAACACTCAGATAAGACAAATCATCATTACAAAAGAGCACATACAATGAATCAATCACCTTTGCAATATTTATAACATGTATTTTTACACTAATCTGTATGTCATAATATATGTATTTTATCACATCAATTAATATGCTATAATACATATGTCTTAATCACACCCATCGATGTTTTACAACACATATATCATTACATCAATTGATATGTTATAATATATATATTATAATCATGCAATTTTTATACTACTTCACATTCATCATACTTTTGTAATCGTTGCCCCTGGGATCCCTTGAGGACTTTATAACATAGATGGCTGCTGATTAGTCGCTGCACACAGATATAACGTTTATCAACCCAGTTCCTTTTAGCAAAAGTGTTGGTCAGGGGTTTAGATAAAGAAATGAGTGTAAGACTTGTAGTGTCTTTTCCCTCTATTTTCATTAATTATGCTCATTACATAGAAAAGCATCAACCACCCTTATTTCTCCCAGCTTTCACAGTCGTCCTCGTCTTCCACACTCTCAGTGTTAACTATCTATACTTATTCTTAACATTTCTCCTATATTTTCTTTCTCTTTCTCAGTATTTCTCATTTTATTTCCACATTCTTTTTATTGGTTAGCATATCATAATATGTGAGTTATGATTTATGTAAATCCATGTATTATAATACACTTTTCGATGTACCACATTACTTGTATTATAATCACATCTCTTAATCTGTTTTGATTCACGTATTATAATCATGCATATCATAATTTTCTGATCATGTCACATTATTCACTCCTGTACATAATCCTTTCTTTATCCAAAAACATTCAAACATTTTTCATCAGCAACATAAATCTACCAATTTCAATATACTTTAACTATCATACCACATCTATATATTTGCTATATCATCTAGTATAGAGATCATTACATAATTTCACACCACACAAATCAATACAATGTGTTGAAGATCAGATACCTCTGGACTCAGATCAGTCATACAATTCAAAATACTCACTTCTCAACATTAATAAAGTTGTCTATCCTAGAGTTTAACATAATCTAATATTCACAGTATATCTATTATTTCAAAAATATCAAAGAGCAATCTTAACTATCTCTGAACACTATTTACTAATAAAATTGTGATATTTCTCAAAAACGGTTCTTTCCAGATGTTTTGTTACAAATTACTTTTAGCTAGTTCTGACAATAATCAAGAGTTTTCATGTCAAAAATTGCTATTTCTTAAACTTAAAATTTTAAGAAAAACATTAGTATTCTATGGTTCTAATAGAAAAACTTAGTATTTTTGAACTAAGATACCAAAAAGGAGTTAGAGTTTGGGATCAACTCCCTTACCTAGAAATGAGTCTCTAAGGCCAAGTTTTCCTAGAGATCCAAGGGAGAGGCATAACGTCATGAGGGAATATATCATCTTAAGGGTTAAGGTTCCTTTGAGTATCATAAAACATAATACTTTAGATTAGAGAAAACTGAGGAAAAGAAGTGAAGTGAGAGAACTAAGTTCCAAAAAACTTACTTGGATCTATATGGAATAGACACTCGAGCTCAGATCTAGAAGAGATTCAAAGTTCGGAAGAGTTTTATTTGAGAGGAGAGGGTCAGAGAACAGAGAGAATGAGGAGAGAAGGCTGTTTGGTGAGAAATGAACGATTTATATGCGTAGTCCACCCCTCTAGGTTTGTGCGTTCTCGCTTGAGCGAGCCTTACTCTGACTTGGGCGAGAAAACTAGACAGTGGAGTTATCCCTTTTTTTGCTATTCTTACTTAAGTGAGATAATTCTCGCCTGAGCGAGCTTCATCTCGCCTAAGCAAAAATGGGTCCAATGAGCACCTTATTTTTCCTACGACTCCTCGCCTAGGCAAGTTCCATCTCGCTTGGACAAACTACTTCTCACTCAGACAGTTAGAGCAACTTTATCCTATCTCATTTAAGTAAGAATCATCTTACTGAGCGAAAATGCCTCAGAGCGCCTTCTTTTAGAAAATTTTATCTCGCTTGAGTGAGAAATCTTACGCCACAACTTCATATTTTTTATTTACGAGTAACAAAATTGAGGGTGTTAAACATCTTACTTAAGTAGTCTTGCACTTGCACTAATCTCCTTATTAATGATGCAACTGTTTTAACTATTTTTTGAACCTAACTTTTGATATTTTTTGTTCTATTTCTAATTTTTTTCATGTACTTTTATTTTATTATCACTACACCCGAGAATAATTTAAACCTTTGTTATTTTTGTACATGTCTTTCTTCTTTCTTTTTAAATAAAGAAACTCTTTCAAATAAATGCCCGGTTAGAATGGCACCTCATAGAAAAACAAATAGAATAGAAACATAGAAACAAAGTGCACTAGTCCTCCTTAATGTCATTCCTTTATGAAAATTGTAAATGGCTGGCCCAATCCATTCATTGTCAAGTTAAGTTGCATGGATTAGAGATTTTTTATTTATCTATTGTTATACACTTTACAAGTTTATGAATCCATTATTATTATTTTCTTGTAACATCTTTTATCAAATTCGTGTTGAAACAATTGTCATTTTAATCATATTATTTTCTTATAGCTTAATGTAAAACATTTGAATAAAAAAGAAGCATTGCTACTACTCATTTTCAAAAATAAAATGGCATTTTATCATTTAAAATATGAAAAATGAATTCTTTTGAATCAAATATAATGACATAAATATACTTTTCATTATTTTTAAAATTTAATTTACATGCTCCTAAGTAGAAAGATGAGAATTTCCTTCATATTCTTTTATACATGTAATCTCTTAAACTACCAATAATCAAACATTAATTTCTTTTAAGGTGTAAAAATTACATCAATCAATTTTATGTCTTAAAACAATATTTTTCTTCGCACATAACCATAAATCAAATAAATGCTTAAACTATTTACTAAAATGTTAAATTTTATTTAGGCTAAAATATCTAAACAAATTTCCATCCAATAATGTGGTAGTTTTTTGTGAGTATAGTAGAAGAGTATCTTCAATACTATATTGGTTTTTACTTTGGTTTAGGTAAGCAGTTCTAAACCTCTCTTGTCATTTCACACGCAATTGGGATATTAGCTGCGTATCAAACTTCCCTATATTCCAATCCAAGACACATAGATATACCTAACCAAGAAAATATTTTGAAAATTTTCAAATTGGCATCTACCACTTTTCTACAAATAATATTAACAACAACTATTGCATCTACTGCTATGTCACTTCAAATATGATACCATTGAGTAGTTCAAACAATATTCTTTTACATTCTTTAAACTTTCACTCATTCTTTAAAACAACATCAATTGTTTACATTGTTTTATAGCCTCTAATATTTAAATTTGATATTTTATTCACAAAATAAATAATTAATTAAAATCCTAAATTATTCTAATTAATTTTATTTTAATTGATATTAAAGTCAATTTGTTTTGAGACATTGTTAAATTTAAGTAATTGTTTTTAATTTTAAGCTTAATAGACTTATTCACGCTAAAACAACATCAATTGTTTACATTGTTTTATATATTTTAAATGTCTAATGAGTAATTCATATTTATAACGGAATAAATGTTAGTTGCTTTGCTTTATTCTAATATATAAAATGTGAAAAATAAAAGATATATTTTAATCGTGATTAATAAAAAAATTCCTATAATAAAATAAATTAATAAAATAGTTATTAATAAAAAAAAAGTGAATCACAAAAAAATACCAAACTTAATTTTAAAAAAAATAATAAATATCTATTCTCAATATTAATTATATATGGATTAAATATTAATTTTTAAATAAAAATATTAATAATATTATTTTAGAAATGTTTTTTTTATTTTTAGAAAAAAATATTCATAATTTTTAGAGACCTTAAATAAAAACCTTAATTGCCTTATTCTTAAACCAACCCTACTTAATGAGTAAATATGTACTTTTTTTTGTCTTACTCTATTTATATTTCAAAATAATTACAGTCTACTTACAGTTTAAAATTTATATTCTTTCCATACTGATTATAATTAACTTTGAAATGTACATGCATTACTTTTAAATAAGGAACAATTATCATTTAACAAGCGTAAAACCGCCTAAATTAATATAACCTTATTTTAAGGAGAATTAAATTATTAACATAAATTTTAAAAGTTTTAATAATATGATGTATTATATTAATATCAATTTTTTTAACTTATACAACATTATATATAATGAAAATTAATAATATTTTTTTTAATTATAATATTTAATAACATTAATATTTTAAATTAAATTATATAATACCTACTAAAAAAATTATATTGATATTTAATGTATTGATAAAAATATATCAATATTCTATATTAATGAAATTGTTCATCAATATAACATCATACTGTTAATGCTAAAACTTTATAAAATTACAAAATTTTTGGTGAATAAAATATATAATTTTTAAATGCTTTTCTCCACGCGCAATTTTCTTAAATATATTTTTCAGAAAGTAATGACAAAGGTATAATGTTTATTTTTTCTAAATAAAGAATACAATTAATTAAAAAATAAAATTACAAAAAGCGGTTTAATATGTTTTAGAAATATAAAATAAAAACTGGAAAAGAGAGCTTGAGTCCATTTCTATGTTTAGTCAGTGCCTGCTGGATTCTGACTGGAATCCTCAAAGTGGGAGCCCCTTGTCCCCTTATTCATTAAAAACGCCTCATTTTTATGTCAATTTTTTAAAAACAAGTAAAATTTTAATATTTTTAACTTAAATTCTTCATTAAGAATTTTTTGTTCGAGTTAGATAAATTTATTAAATTGAAAAAATTCTCACTGTTAAAGAAAAGATCTCAAAAACTCATTTTTAGTTCGAATTTTCTAAACAAGTTGTAAATTGCAGAAGTAAAAGCGAAAAAGATTATAACGTTGGAACTTCACTGTTTCCGTTACACTTGAAAACTCATCCCTGTACACATGAAACTCGAATGCGATGAAATCTGTTTAAAGAAAAATAATAGCAATAATAGCGTTTAACTTATTTTATTTATTTCAAATAAACCAATTTTTAAAATGAAACGTAAATGCATGTGTTATTGCTCTCTTCTTCTGCTTCACTAGAAATTACAGTGTTTCGCGAACACTAATTCAGATCGAAGTCAACTCAACGTCGTCGTTTTGGCTTTGCAGAGCTCTCCTACCGTTGTTGAACTCTTTGCGTTGTTACAGTTTCTAGGGTTTTCGGTTTCATTCTGGTGATTGTTTCGGATATGGGAAGCAGAAAGGAAGAAGAGAGGAACGAGAAAATCATCAGAGGTCTCATGAAGCTTCCGCCGAATCGAAGATGCATTAACTGTAACACTCTGGTAAAATTTCCTGACTTTTTATTTTATTATTTTTTGGGTTAGTGAAAGTGTGTTTTTGGTTTCAATTTCTCTTTGTTTTGAGGTTTCGTGTAATGTGGTTAATTTTCGAAGTAGAAACCTTTGTGAAGTGAATTGGTTCCATTGAAATGAAGTTTTGAAGTGTTTTTGGAAGTTGAGTTGGACGTTGAAGTTTTCAATTCTTTTAATTACGCTTTTGTGAACTGGATCCTCCAAAATCAAAATGAATTAGATGAAATTAGCTCAATAAGTAAGTGTTTTTGTTGAAGACGTGATGCGTTCGAGATTTTGTGGGTAATTGAATTTTTGTTTTTCAATTTAACCTTTGATTTTATTTTCCTTCGAGAGCTTTTCAGGCTTTTATAGTTTTTTCATCATTACTTTTGAGGGGTTCTTGATTATTTATGAATGTAAGCACTTTTCAAAGTTATGATTCCCAGTTAATTGACATGTAACTTTATTTTATTTTTGCAGGGTCCGCAATATGTTTGTACGAATATTTGGACCTTCGTTTGTATGACGTGCAGTGGAATACAGTGAGTTCCTTTTCAACTTATTAAATATATTTGCTCTAGTTCTTTCAGTTTAAAGAAAGGTGACTGTATAATTGTACATTTAAGTCATATGATTTTGTATTCCCAGGATGATTTTAGGTGTTCTTATGGCTAGAATTTATCATGAACGTGTGAGATTTTTATTTGCTTTTAATATTGCTTAAAATTTTCATTTCTGAATTAGATAATGGACTTGTAATTAGAGAAAATTTAAAATCAAATTGGAATTCTTTTAAAGTTCCGTTTTACTTGTGACTATGCTTGATGCATGATAAAATTGGAAAATGAGGAGGCCACCCAAGTAATGGTAATTGGTTTTAAAGGAAATGCTGATTTTTTATTTAATTAATTCCATGTATTCACATAAAATATAACCTGGTAACTAATTATATTCAAAGCTATAAACCTTGATTTTGTTTCTTGAACTACATGTTCTATCTTCTTCACTTCTTTATGAGGTTGTATGCATATTTTTCATGCTTTAGGGGTAATAAAGTATTTATCTATTTTGGTAAGTCATGACATTTTGTTGAAACTGAATTAGTGGACTTTTTAAGTATAGTAGAAATAATGACGTTTGAACGTTGGATCTCATGTAAACTACCCAAGCCCATTACCATTAAACCAACCCTAGTGGCTTGAAGTAGTGATTCTATTTGACTATAATGCACAAGTCCTTAAATTAATTGTTTATCTTTATGTCATGCAGTCGTGAGTTTACCCATCGTGTGAAGTCTGTATCTATGGCAAAGTTCACTTCGCAAGAAGTTGACTCTCTTCAAAATGGGGGTAATCAGGTACAATGGCGGATTATATTCTTTTCAACCTTTGGATCCACTTTTATTTCCTTGTTAAAAAAAGATTTATCTGTGATTATTTCATTTCAGCGTGCAAGGGAAATATATTTGAAAAATTGGGACTTCCAAAGGCAGCGATTGCCTGATAGCAGGTTCAGTTTACTGTTAAGATTATAATACCAACACAATATTTAGTTATCTACATATCTGAATATATAACTCCTTATGGGACACATCATGTTTTTATTTTGCAGTAATGTTGATAAAATAAGAGAGTTTATAAGGAATGTATATGTGGATCGAAGATATGCAGCAGCTAAGTCTTCTGATAAGCCTCCAAGAGATGTGCAGGCAATATACTTTTAGATGTTTATTTGTTTAAGTTCTGGTATTATTTTTTTGTTTGATGGAGTAGGATATGTATGAGCGCTTCTTTGTTCTAAGACATTAGAAATTTTCTTCAACTTAATTCAATTTTAAATAAAGTGATAAGATTGGTTTTATTTCTTGTTTGTTGCTTATAAATATTTAATGGAAACTTTCAACATTGCATTGCATTGAGGTTAAATGTTCACAATTACAAATGAAATCTACTAGACATAATTACTTGCCCCAGTGTCCTTAAATCAGAATTTTTACTCTGTAGTTTAATGATAAACATTTTATATGTGCAACTGGCTGTAGAGCCCTAGAATTCATGAAGATGATACAAGGCGTGCCAGTTCGTATCACTCATATTCTCAAAGTCCTCCATATGATTACCAATATGAAGATCGACGCTATGGAAAACAAACAGCTGCACTGACCAGGAAGCCTGGTTCAGATAAAGTTCGCTATGAAGGAAAGATAAGTAGTATTATTTATAGTCCTGGTCGCTTCAGTGATCATGCATATGATGACAGATTTGCAAATGAGGGGTCTGGTCCCAGAATCTCAGATTTTTCTGTGTCTAATGGTGGTGAGCAATTCAAATCTGATGTTCAGCGTTCTGGTGGCCATTCAAGTGAAGATGTGTGGTCTCATGCAATAAATACGTCTCTGGAAACTAACTCCAAGAGAGACGCAGACAGAATTCATCATCCACAGGTTTGTTTCTCTTGTTCTTGTTCCATGATATATAGAAAGATGTGTGCTTGCTTAAACATGATTTTTTCCCAAGACTTTTATCAATATTATGCAGTTGTTATTGAAGGTTATTCGTGTTTTCACTTTTCTGATTATATGATACTCTGAACCTGAAAGGTTAAAAATCCTTGTATTGGATAACATTGGTTCTGATAATTGGGTTGCTGCCCACTAAAAAATGTTTTCTCATCTAGGAATCAACTAACAAGATGATATATCTCAGTATTCTACCCTTAACTTTGGAGGCTGTAGATTTGGGATTTAGCCAAGAACCGATTTTTCTTGTAGGCATTTAACAGTAAAATGATTTTTGTTGAACGATACCTTGCTGAAAAGTCAAGGGATTGACAGAATCAGAGTAATTTATTATTGTTTGAGTTTTCTTGGTGATTATTCATTTATTTTGTTGCATTTGAAATGCTGTTGAGTGGTGACCTTATATCAGTAGCATGCATGCTGAGCATCCGACTTCATTTTGTTGATGACATTAATTTGGACTTTTCCCCCAGAGAACTACTTCACTGGGATCAACAGATAGCAACCTGTCATCCTTAAGATCTTACAGTTCTGGTGGCTTAGTTGATTTTTCCTCGGAACCTTTCCAGGCTTTTGGATCCCATCAAAATAAAGTGTCTTGTGCTTCACAACCTTTTGATCTGGGAAGTTCTGTTAGTTCAGATCTTTCCAAGACACCAGTGGCAACTGAACCATTCTCTTCATCAGCTTCATCTATTGACCTTTTTCAGTTGCCAGCTGTGCCCTCTCAGGCTACATCAGTGGATCTGTTTCAATCATCTGGTTTATCTTCAATTTCATCTTTCAACGAGAGTCAACCCACAAAAGCATCCCAATCCTCATCTGTTGACTTCTTTATGGATCTTTCTCAGCAGCCATCTGCTGCAACCTCAAATGAGAAGTCACTAGAGTTCTCTGTCCCCAAAAATGAAGGATGGGCAACATTTGATATGCCTCAGCTCACAACATCTACTGCACAAGTAGAAATTCCGACAGCAGTACCTTCAAGTGCCAATCCCTTGCAGGAAAGATTTGATCCATTTTCAAACTTAAATGCAAATATGCAATGGCCATCTTCTGAAACTTCTAGTATTAGTGTTCTGTCTTCAGTTACATCCAATTTATGGCACGATGACATGTGGAATGGAGAAGAGCAAGTTTCTGTTATGGCAACAAACACTCAAGTAAGCACTAGGAAGCTTGGTGTATGTCTGGTTTTTGTAATACTCCATAATCATAAATCTTCCAAATTGGAGACACATTGGAAAAATTGCAACTTAAATAAGATTTTTTTTCTTTTGAGACTGAACAGCCATGGAATGCATTTAAAGATTCCAGTACCTCTGTTCCTGTGGATGTCCTTAATCAAGGATCAGAAATGCACAATCTTTCATCAAGTGATGATCAGTTTTTGAATTTAAGAGCTTCTGAGGTTGGTATCTATATGTTGCATTACCAAGATAGTCTATGTTTTTGAAAATAAAAGAAATTCTCTTGTTTTTCTTCTATCAGGGATCCAATAAAGGTGGGATGCAAGATGTTGCCCCTGTTGATGGGTTTGATCATGACCTTTCATCACATTTTGTTAATGGCTTACCATATCCTCCATCTGCATTTCCGCCTATGGTTTGTGATCTTGAATTGCTTGAGATTTATTTATTCTATTTTGAGTGGCTGTGATGTTTTGTTTTCCCTTGTTTGATTGTAATTTTGTATTATTTTTTATTTCTTCTTTCAGGGAGAGGTTCAGCATAATGAAGTCAACTGTAAATCAACTAACCCATTTGATTATCCTTATGACTCAGATGTAGAACATAATAATTTGGTACGTCATGAACTGTGAATAGACTTTCATCTGTCAATTAGTAGGTGATTAAGGTTAAGTGTATAGTTTTCCCAACCACTATTGCTCTTATTAAACTAGTTCCTAGTGATACTTATTATTTCTGCATGTTTGCTCTGGTACAATGATCATGATTCCTTTCATACACTTGAAATTTACTGGTATGTGGTTAAGTATTTATGTTCTGCTCTGTGGAATGTACATAGTTTGGCCTTTCTAAACAGTTCCCTTTTTATGTTCTGACTGTCCATAAAAAATTGTCGCAACCCCAACACAGCTCCAAAAAGGCAAATGATATTTTTTATTTAGATTTTCTTGTAACTTTTTTCCTCATTAAAACATTTTCCTGACGCTTTCTCACTTCTAAAACCACCATATGCATATAGCTCTAAAGCTCTCCCTCTATGATGTTTGAAATTTAACATGCTGAAAACTACTACCTAGTAATAGTCTTATGTGCAATCATATCACCCTAGTTTATACTTGTACAATGCTTGTATTGTTGAACTTATTTAAATGCTATGTAGACGTTTTAATCTTAACAAACAAAGTTCCTCCACTGTTAATGCTACACACTGAAAAGATATAAATTTCAAAATGTGGATCTTGGGATATTAGAGACAGAAAGATAGTAACTTGTTTTTCAGTTTCCTGTTGTTTGTAACATGTGTGCAGTGCCAATTGCAATTCCTTGATGTCAGCTCTCTACAAGCTGCTCTGCCAGATTCCCAGCTATCATCCACCTTCCAAAGTGGAATTGACGAACCATGGCTACCTCAGAATACAGTGAACCCTTATATCTCCTCTGCAGGACAAGGTAGTTCTTAAAGACTCATACTGGAAGTTCAAAAAATCATATAATCATGGTCATTGTCTTACTTCTATCTCCACAGCTGTTAGAATCATCTCATTGGTGTTCACACGACTAAAATAAATGCTATTCACATATCTATTGGTAGGATTTTAATACATTTCAAATATTCGTATAGCTAGAATTTTCTTACTACCATCCTATTCTGGTTTTGGTTTATTTATGTAGGTGGTTTGACATTCATGGCTGCACCACCGCCAAGTTCTCAAATACCGTAAGTTAGCATACATGGCCTTTGTTTTTTTTTTATTTGATTCAGTGGTTGAGAACTGGAGATGAATTGCAAGTCAATGTGCGCTTACCCTGTGATAATAAATGATTGGTTTTTCAATTCATTAGAAGAATGTTGTTTGGTTATCTTTCATACAAACTAGTATAAGGGATTAAAATATCATCATTATTAAATAATGGTGAAATTATGTATCTTAAAAACAAAAAAGGTAAAATAGATGTATTTATGAACTATTATAAAGATTCTATTTTATTATATAGGAAAAAAAATAAAGATACAAGACTTTTGAAATTGAGGAGAAAATTAGAGAGTATATATACAGTTTCATCTTCGAAAGTGGCAACCTATAGTCCTATATTGATTTGGTCCTTAAAAAGTTTGTATGTATACAATTTAGTCCCTGAATTAATCTATCAACTTCATGACAAAATAGTCATAGTCTTTCTCTGTGAACCTAGCTTTCAAATTTGTCAACTTTGTGACTATTTAATTCTCAGAACTCTGAACTTCATGACAAATTTAGTCTCCAAATTGGATTAACGTTACGTTGGATGGACTATTTTGTCATGGACTTGACAAATTTAGAGATTATATTGTGTACATTTAAACTTTTAGAGATAAAATTAACACATCACTTTTAGAGATAAAATTGTATATTTACTCTATTTAAATCAAGATATACCATCTCTATGTATTAATTTAATACCATATCTCACAATTTAAAATTCAAATTTTAATTGGCTGAATTAAATAGAATTAATGAAATTTGATGGAAATAAACAATATAATAAAATAAAATGTGAGATACTTAATACAGGAGAAGTTCCATGGTTTATCGAGAAAGAGTATTTAAAAATTCTTTTGTTAATGAATACTCTGATTTATATTAGGCCAATGTAAAAATGGTCCCTATATTTTAGCACTTTTTTGCTTTTGTTCCTTCTACTTTTTTTTATAATTTTAATCCTTACATTTTCACAAATTTTTTGTTTTAATCCTCTTACTAATGTGGTCTAATAAGAGATTGTCATATGTCATTTTTTTATTGGACCATGTCAGTAACACAGGGACTAAAATACAAAAAAAATTCCAAAAATTTAAGGACCAAAATCAAAGGAAAAAAGTTCAGAGGAACCAAAAGCAAAAAAGCATTTAAATGTAGAGATCGACTTCATATTTAAGCCGCTTTATATTACACTATGTGGATGTGTCTATGTATCAAAATTTAACAGTCTAAGATACTTACGATGGAGGCCAGCGAATGATATTGGGAGAGAAAGACCTTCACTTAGTTGTCAGTAAACTTTGTGTGGTCCACCCTTCATTGATATCCTTGGGTATGAATGGCTATTAAACCTTATATAGGGTGTTGGCCACAGATGGATTCCTTGCTACTAATTTTGAAAGGAAAGAAAGTTGGCCTCTCGGTGGTCCCGAGTAAACTTCTTTATCAAGCGAGTGAAGCTTCATCATCTTTGTATTCCAACATCGAAAGGGTTGTACTGGGCTGCTGGCCGGTTTGGTTCCAGCTTTAATAGATATCCATTTGTGACATTATATTTTATAAAGTTGGAAATTCTACACTACCCCTGTAAATCTACTCCGAAGTATGTTTTTTTTATAAAAATATCTATTTAATATTGTAAAACTATTTGTTTATTAACTGTAGTGCATTACATAGAATTAGATTTATATGCAGGAGCAAAACTTAATTTACACATCTTGTGTACTTATTATATAATTATAAGCATGTTCATTGACTTTTTGAGTTGATAATTTACAGGAACATCCAGACGCAGGGACCAGTTGCTTCTGTTGGGGGCAATCCCTTTGCATAGGATTATACTGCAAAATTTGGAGCCAGTCATGGGGAAATTTATGCATAGCTAGTCTAGTAGTTACTCATGACATAGATTTTAATGCTTTTATTCACATCAGATTAAAATGTTTCCCATTACTTCCACGGCAAGGAAGGCCTTGGAATTCATAGTCCCTGCCATATACTTGCCATGCGTTTATATTTTTGCAATTGGATGCCATAGTTATTGTCAAAAAAAATGGCATTGTAGTTAGAATTCTTAAAATGTTTAATTAGTCTTCTGGCTGGCAACGAATGTAAACAATTTGGATCAAGATAGACTGTTGATGGTATTCGACCTTGTTATTGTAATTGCTATTCTATGTAATCCAAAGCTTGTTAATTGTTTCGAATTGCTTCGATGTAGATACTACCTCCTTTATCAACGACGTGCATTAATATAATGGGTTTCATTAACCAATATAATGTTGCTAACATTTAGGCCTGATTGTGAATAAAGAGTTGAATTACTAGCCCATCCATTCACGCATCCTAATTCAGCAAACTTACGAAATTTGCTGCTTTGGTGAGAAATTCTTTATAGTCACATGAATTGTGAACAAAATTTAATTTTATTCAATTTTTTTAACATTGTTTACTATGTTATGATATTATATGTAAAAATATAACACATTCTAATATGCAATAAAAATAAAATTAAGATTTTGTTATAAATATATTATCGTTATTTAATAATTATAATATTTTATATGTAGCTTTTATCTTCATGTGAAGAAAAGATTAACATTTTATAGAAAAATATAAAAAAAATTCAATATATTTTTTTAATTGTGCATAAAGTGTTTTATACACGTTCTAACAATGATAAATTTGATAACTAGGTAAGAATTAGAGATGAATTAACTAAATTATCACTGTATGAAAAGAAGTTACATTAGAGGTCTCATCATGAAAATATTCATTAACTTAGTTGTCAACACGGATTGTCAACACAAATAAATATAAAATTTTCTCAATTATTTGCATACAATGTTAAATTAATTTTATCAATCAATCGATATTTTTTAATTAGGATAATTCAATAATTAAGATGTTATTAGACAGATCTCAAAATATCATGCGAGTGTGTTGTGTATCATTATTTTTCTTTAATATTTTATAAAACCATTTATCATTCAATCTGATAAAATAATTCAATCGCTTATAAAAATTTAGTGCAAATTATGATATAATAAGTTAATTTAGAGAAAATTATATATTACAATTTGTAGAATAAGATCTATTATATTATTTTGGCAAACGCATTCTTTCGTTCTCTAATTTTATTTCACACACACACGATAACAAACAAATTAAAATAAATAAAAAATATAGAATTAACGTATTAATTTTACCTATTATTATTTTCCTATTTAACATTATATTGTAACAAAATCTTTTTTTATAATTTATTAAAATTATTTTTTAAAAGTATACAAATAGAAAATAAAAACCTAATTAAAATTACATATGAGTGATAAATAAAAAGTTGTTAGAATTATAATATATTAACTCAGTTGAAAAGTATATAATGCCTTTGAGTTTTCAAGGGAAAAAAAGGAACATATTATGATGTTAACAACTTAATATATCGCCGCTAAATAAAATAGTCATGCATTACACGAAATTTATATAAATATAAAAAAATGGTTCAAAATATAAAAAATTAAATTTATTTCTTATAACTGATTTATTGTAGATAATAATTTTAATATAAGATGTGTATTTTTTTTATAAATGTTAATAATATGAAGTATCAATTTTTTTAGTTAGGTTATGAAAAAATATTGAATTAACCCATTAAATATTTTATTATAAACTATATTTTGCTTATAGTATGTGTATTTCTCATCCTATTCATAAAAATAAATAAATAAACTCACCTTGATGGTTTACCTCTTGAGTCATTCACGATACAATGTATAACTAATTGAGTATGATAAAATATAATTGAGTCATTGTTTCACATTCTATATTATTCTTGATCTTTTAATTTTGAAAAGAAAAATGTAATTATTGATTTTATAAATAATGTAGTTTATAAATAGTAAGTATTAAGTACTTTTTCTTAAATATTTTTCTCTCTCATAATTATTGTTAAAAATTAAGGTTATGTTTGTTTATTATTTGTAAAAGAGTTTATTTTAGTTTTTAAAAAGAAAAAAATCTTTCAAAAATAGTGAACAAACATGCTCTAAATATGTGTTATAAATAATTTATTCAAGAAAATTAATTATTTTCTTAAATAGATATTGACTTTTATTCTTAAGTAGATATTATCTTTAATTATATTATTTAATGTAAATATATATTATATTTAATAAATATATATAGTATTTAATGTCAAAAGTTCAGTCAAATTTACTTTTTAAAAAAATATTGTGGATATTGTATTTAATTATATTACAAAATTTAATAAAAATATTTATGATAAATAATTTAATCACTAAAGTATAACGAGACATATGTTAATGATTGATAACAATAAATTATAAATTGAATTTATCTTTGATTGAATTGTAATTTTCTTAGTAAAGTTATAAAGTGTGATTTAGGATTTTAAAATTATCAACTTTAATAAATCACTTAGAGGTGATTCTACGTTGCTTGTGAACTTATTTGCTATTTTTTACCTGTTTAACTCAAATCAACATTCCTTGCATTTATTTTTTTCACTTTTGCTTAAGCAAAAGTGCATTTAAATATAGTTATTACAGAGGATCGTAATCCATTTAATTCATGCTATTGATCTAATACCCTTTTTATTAATCTGATCGATTAAATTATAATTATATATTATTTTAATTATTTTTATTAATTTTTTTAAAATTAAATAATTATAAAATATTATTAATGAATTTTTATTTTTATATTTTAAAAATATATATTTTATTAATTTTAATATGTACAAATAATATATTAAATAATTTTAAATTAATATAAATTTGTATAAATATGAACTATGTGATTAGAACTTTTAATCTAATTGTTAATTTTAAAATCTAATAATAAGTATTAAATTAAATAATGTAAAAATAAGTATTATCTATTTTCATGTATATATTTTTATAAAAATGATACATATAAAGTGACTATCTCGAGTCTTTTTAAAGTGCATTTTCATTATTTTTAGATTTTCCCTAAATTATATCTACCCAATAAAAATTTATAATACTTGACAACTAAAAATGTACCTACAAACGTAAGATAACTAATTTATTTTGATGTTTTTTTAATCTTAAATGTGCTTACGAGCATTAATCTTAGTTAAATTTTATTTTAGTTCTACTTCTTTTTCCTACTGTACATATTTAAATATCATTTTAATTAAACTAGTTAGTAATTCATTCAATGCGTAAGTATTTTATTTTAACATATATATATATATATATATATATAATAAATAACTATTCAAAATATTGACTTTTTTTAAAATTAATTTAATTATATAACCACGATAGTATATATCAAAATAAAAAATATGTAATAAAATTATGATAATTTTAAAATGTAATATATTTAAAATAATAGAAATAATATATTAAATATTATAAATTTTATATAAACAAAAATATTTTTAAAATTTGAAAATTTGTATAAAGTAAAAAGATAAATTTTATAAATATAAATATAAAGATTCACAAAAAAAAATTGAAAATATATATAAGATAGTAAAAGAAAGTTAAGTACTAATTTTGATATTTAAAATTTAAAATTAAATTATTAAAAAAAATTAGGTTAAAAAGAAAACAATTACAGGAAAAAGATAGTGTTCACAAATTATTCTCATATGATTTTAATCGTATAAAGTGCATGTGGTAAACTATAAAAAATAGTAACTTGTTTCATTTCTTAGAGAGTAGTCTCATTTATAATTGAGAGGTTACTAATAAATTAAAATTTTATTAATATATGTTTAAAATATATTAATATGGATTTAAATTTTTTTACTTATGTTATAACAAATTTTTTTTATCACTTATGTTTTATAGAAGTAATAACTAAACATAATAATATTTTAAATATATTTTTAAATTTAAAGTAAATCATATTAGTTAATTAAAAGTATTTAAGAAATAATTAAATATTAATTTAATTATATTTACAAGCATTAACATTTAATAATCAATAAAAAAATCTGAATAATTTATTATACGTAATGTTGATAAAATAAAATTAAATATTGATTGATGAAATTTTGAAAAGTTAAAATATCTTTTATTTTAATAAATGATTAAGAAATAAATTAATATTAATTTGATTTGAAGAAGAGAGAATATTATGCAATTTCATGATAAAACAAAAAAAATCTCAAATTTAATATATAAACTATTTTATAATTAATAATTTTGATCATTTATTTATGCGATATTAGTTACAGTAATTTGAAAAAAAATTATCTAATAAGATTTTTTTAGATTATTTTCCTAATAAGGATTTGGTTCAGAGGAATATAAAGAATAAAAGATAAAGAAAAATTAATTATATAAATATTTCATATGCAATTGAGCTAAAATTGAAATTAAATTTTTGTATAGCAAAATAATTAAATTAAATTTTGTTTTGATATGTAGTAATTCAATAATTTATCTATATGAAATTATTTTGGATAATATGAAAGGTTGTTTTTTTTTTTTCCAACGGTGGAATTTCATGTATAAAAATACTTAAATAATGAGTAGTACATTAAGAAGTGGTTAAGAGAGATATATATTTTAATGCAAAATAACTAATGTGCTTAAAAAAAACACTAATTTGTAATAGAAACAGAGGATTAAGGAAGTTATTTAAGCTAATTGACGGTTAATATATTAGGAAAAAATTATTTAATAAAAATAACTTTATTTAATAAGGTAGTTGAAATAAATTTTTATTGCTGTTTTTTAAGATTAATTTAACTTTTTAAAATGTTACTTTATTTGGAAGTGATTTTTTAATCTTTATTCATACTATTTTTTAATAATTTTTTCTTTTACCCCTTCAATTTTTAAAATCTTATTACATTTATTCGTTCCTGCTTAGTTTTTCTACACCACTTTCATCATTAAATCTTACTAAAATATAACAAGAATATTACATCATATTTTTTTATAAGATAAAATCATCAAAACAGTAATATAAATATTTTAAAATAAAATTAAAGTTAAAAATTTGCAATTTATTTAAAATATATAATTGCCAAGTTTTAAATTTTAAACTAAAATTTAATAATGTTCTTATTTATTGTTGTATATTTACCAGCCTTTTCAATAATTAATTTTATCAAATATTTGCAATTCAATTACTTAACTTTCCAGATTTAAATTTTTAACTTTTGGCTATATTTTTAGCCAACTTATTCACTAATTTTAACAAATATACCCATACTCTCAGTTTTCAAAGTGTTGATTAAAATAAAATGAACGTGTGATATTCTTGATTTATATATATTAATAAATTTAAAATATTAAAATATAAATAAAATTACCAAAAATTTATAAAATAAAATAAATTTTCTTTTTGAAAATCTTAATAAATTGATAATGTATTACATATTTGATAAAACTTTAGAGTGAAAAAATTAGTTTTTATAACTATAAAACTAGAAATATTAAATTCAAATAATGAAAATTTAGAAAATCAAAATTACACATAAATATGAGAACTAAAAGTTTAATTATTATTTTATATTATTGCTAGTTAATGGCATGTATATTGCACATATTTTATTTATTATTATTCTTTGTGTTTTTATAGTTTTATTAAATTAAATTAAATTTTGATATTTTATATATTTTATTAGTGATAAATCTTGTATTATATTAAATTTGAATAAATTATAAAGATGGTTTTCTAAATCAAGAAATAAATTATAAGAAATTTTTTTAAAATTAAGAAAATTAAATAAATAAATTTAAATTAAATTAAGAAAATTTATGAAATATTATATTACTAAAAATATTATTGTTATACAACTCTTTCTAACATTTTTACGTGATTTATTAATATTGATTGCAAGCCTTAACTAGAAAGACAAATTTTACCGTATATATAATGGATTCTTCATGATTATTCCAATGAAAATGGTAAAAGTTGGACGTATTAGGCAAGCGGTTGTTATTTATCACTTTTATACAAATAATTTTTTAAAATTTATTTTATTATTAATTTGGTCAATAATTTAAAAATATTTTAAATAAAAGTAAAAATGTTTATTGTATTTTTTTCTATATACTTTAACAAGTGATTTTGGTTCTTTAATTTTAATTGCTATATTTAGTTTTTTAAATATTCTATTAAAGTTTTCTACTCTAAAATTTTAGTTAATAATAAAAAATTATAATAAAAGTATGATATTTTTAATTAATATAAATAAATAAATAATAAAAATATCTAAACAAAATATAATAAAAAAATTAAAATTTTAATAGGAGACTTAATTTAAATATTTAATTTTTTTTAAAATATGAATGATTAAATTAAGGAAATATAAAAAATAAATTTATATTAAATTAAAACAATTTATAAAATATTTTATTAGTCATAATACTGTATACAACTCTTTCATTAACATTTTCATATGATATTTGGCCAATATTTGTTAACATTGAATGCAAACCTTAACTATATATCTCACATTATATATGTATAGAATGGATCCTTCAAGATTATTCAAATGAAAAGGGTAAAAGTTGGACGTATTAGGCAGATGTTATTATTTATCACTTTTATGTAAATGATTTTTTAAAATAGCTTTACTATTAGTTCGGTCAACGATTAAAAATTATTTTAAATAAAAATAAAATTGCATTTTCTAAATACTCAATTTAAACTTTCTATCCTAAAATTTTATTTAATAATTAAGAAGAGAATATAATAAATATATTATTATTTTTACTAATAAAACTTAATTTAAATATTTAATTTTTTTTAAAAAAGAATTATTATAATAAAAAATTAAATTCACACGTATATTAAAATACGGGTAGTAAAAATCCAAAGTGATATAAGAAAAAGAAAGAGTGAAAAGAACCACACACTGTTACCTAAGGATGGGTGTGAATAAACATGCAATGGCTTTATGAGATTACCTAATAAACCGTTTGGAAAATATGTAAAGCCTTAATGAGTCTTAAAAGAGTGAAAAGAACCACTTTTTGGGTAACATCACTCTTCTCTATATATCTCACTCCTTCACCACCCCTTTTCCACACCCTTTTGAGTTTTGAGCACAGCTTCTACAACAATTGGTATCAACATGAATCCTCTGATACAAGGTTGTTGCATCACCCTTTGGGTTGTTGTTGGACTCTCTTCCTTAGCATTTACAAAGTCAGTGGATGTTTCAAAACAGTGCCAATTCCCTGCCATTTTCAACTTTGGTGACTCAAATTCTGACACTGGAGGCCTCTCTGCTGCCTTTGGACAAGCTGGCCCTCCTCATGGAGAGTCCTTCTTCCATCACCCTTCTGGCCGCTACTGTGATGGCCGTCTCATTATTGATTTTATAGGTACTTTCACTTCTCTTTCCTTCTTTCTTGTTCAGTTTTGTCTTTTAAATTTTTGCGGATTTAAGTTTATTTCATTGGCTATAGTTTTGGTTTGGTGTGTCTTGGGTGAATGTGTAGTGTTGGTTTTGTAATTGCATCAATTAATGCTAACAAACATGCTTCATGGTTTTTGATGCGCTTGGTCTTAATGATTAAAATTTTCTAACCAAAGTATGAGATCCCATTTGTGTTAATTTACTTTTTTTAACTTTGGTAAAGAATATTATTGTTTATATGTTGTTCTCCAAATATAGTGTTTTACTAAAGGGTCTCACAAGGAATGGAATCTTTATTATTTATTTATTTTGTTATGGTTTTTATGTGTTTTGAAATGTCCACCGACAGATTGAATGGGTTTTGTCATTACTGATGACAAACAAAATTGGTAAGCTCAACTATGTCTGCTGCTACACGCACTTCAATCCCACCAAATCATGGAACATTATTTATTGTTTAGGTTTTGTTTTGCTTAGGGATTTGTTCATTAAAATTTAAAGTATTCATTTTCATGTATCACGTTGTAGTAACAAATCTTAGAATTTACTAATTTAACCTATTTGATTGATAGAGATTATTTGTTGTTTTAATCCACTCATTATTTGTTCATTTTCAACTATCCTTGCCAAACATCATATCGCAATAGTACTTAATATTTTATACGTAATCTCTAATTTTGTTTCTAAATACATCCTCAACAATCGTAAATTCAAACTTACATATTAAATTTGAGACCTCATTCTTAATTATCATAAAATCATATCATTTTCTCTTTTTTATTTTCTTCTAAAAAGATTTTTTCTGTTCATAGCTTTATTAATCAATAATTAGAATTTTTAACTAAATTAAATATAATAGAATATTGTAAATTTAATGAAGATTAAATCAAATTAAATATTAATATTAGTCATTAACTATAAGATAATTTTAATAATTTCAATAATCAATATCTAAATTTCTTTATTTAACATTAAATATAATATTTATTAAATTTTATTTATTTGAATAAAATTTGATATTTTAAAAGTTTATAACTTTTAATATATAATAACCATTAAAATAATTATATATCGATTAATTTAATTTTGTATCATTGTATGATATTTTAAATTTAATTTTTACATTTTTGTATATATACACGGGTACTGAAACTCGATACTGACTATTTATTTGCAAAGAAAAATAATTACTTTAATTTTTAAGGTTAAGTTTAAACAATTAATAATAATAAAATATTAAAAAATATTTATTATACTTTTATAAATTTAATATAATAAATATTTTTAATAAAAATATTATTTTTAAATATTAAATTCAATTCTAAAAATTGAAGCTAACTAAAATTCGAAATGAAAAGAATTGACTTAAAATATACAACTGAAGATAAGTAAATAATAATTTTTTTTTATAAAAAATAGAAATATGTATATTTTTATAACTTTAATGTAATAAATATATTATTTTTTATTAAAAAAATTATATTTATAAATGCTTAAACTTAAGCCTTAGGTTAAAGTTAAAAAGCCCTTGACATATTTATAACCATAGGAGTGGATGACATTTTGTCATACAATAATTACATTAAAAACACAATTTAATATATTATTAACTCTTGTATCTTTTAATTTGATTGATGGCACTAGTCTATTGTTGAAATTTCCATCTCATGTCAATTAAAAATGTGTTGCAACTGGAGCAATTGGTTAACTTTTTATCTTGACAAATGCTGACTAATTTGAACCTTGATTTTCTCAAATTGTGGATCAAAAGCTAAGAAGCTGGGCCTGCCTTATTTGAATGCATTTCTTGATTCGGTTGGGTCAAATTTTAGACATGGAGCCAACTTTGCAACTGCTGGATCCACCATTAGACCCCAGAATACAACTCTTCATCAAACTGGGGGTTTCAGCCCTTTCTCTTTGGATGTTCAATTCAATCAATTTAGTGATTTCCAGCGCAGAACACAAATTTTTCGCAATAAAGGTAATGACAAAGCATGGATTATATTTTCAATATTTCATATTAGTAGTTTCAGTTAATTCACCTCAATGGGTTATCAACTATTTTTCCTCTTAGGTGGAGTGTATAAAAAATTGTTACCAAAAGCAGAAGATTTTTCTCGCGCATTGTACACATTTGATATTGGTCAGAATGACTTGACATCTGGTTATTTCCACAACATGTCCACGGATCAAGTTAAAGCATATGTTCCTGATGTTTTGGCTCAATTCAAGACCGTAGTCAAGGTAATCCATTTTAGTGTTAGTGATATTTTTTATTTGCTAATAAAATGAGTGTTTGGAAGTGTTTTTAAAATATACTATAACTGCTATAAATCATATTTAGACTCTGACTGGTTTATAGTTGAAAGTCGACCTCAGATGAGATAAAATTTTTTGCTATTGTATTGGTTAATGGTTGAAATTGTAAGAATCGATTCTCGAAAATTAAAAAAAATCGATGCCACAGAAATCAAAATAAATTGTTAACTTATTTCAATAAATTCTCTAGTATAAACTTTTTACAAACTATTCCAATAAGTTTTTAAATCATTTTTTCTCGTAAGTTTGATTTGATAAACTTTCATTGAAAATACTCAAGTTGCTTACACAAGCATTCGAAGTACACAAATTTCTAGTATGTCATGACATGCATGCATGTATTCTGTTTTGTATTGTTAGTATGCGTATGATCATGGAGGAAGATCATTTTGGGTTCACAATACGGGTCCTGTTGGGTGTTTGCCATACATCATGGATCTTCACCCAGTAAAAGCATCTTCACTGGACAAAGCAGGATGTGTAACCCAATATAATGAAGTGGCTCAGTTCTTCAATCGTGAATTAAAAGTTGCTGTGTTTCAACTTAGAAAACAACTTCCCTTGGCTGCCATAACATATGTTGATGTTTATTCAGCCAAGTACTCTCTCATTAGCCAAGCAGGGAAGCATGGTAAACCCTTTGTTGGGGCTTGTTTTGTTCGTGAGAATAATTGCATGGTTAAAATATGAATTTGTTTTCAATTTTTGAGCATTTTTTTCCTTTAGGTCCCTCCAAACTTTTTTCTTTGGTTTGGTCATATATATTTGCAAATGTTTTTATTTTGGTTCTTGTCACTAGGGTGATCTAATAAAAAAAAATTGTGAATTCTTTAAGAACTAAAACAACAAAGAAAAGCTCAAAGGGACCAAAAGCAAAAAACTGCTCAAAAATAGAAACTATTTTCATATTCAAGCCATAATTTTTTGTGCGAAATTAAGAATTTTGTTTGATAAGTGCAGGTTTTAAGGAACCTCTAAGAGCTTGTTGTGGGCACGGTGGGAAGTACAACTACAATGTACACATTGGATGTGGAACTAAGATTAAGATAAATGGCACAGAGATCCTTGTGGGAAAATCATGCAAAGACCCATCAGTTAAAATTAATTGGGATGGTGTTCATTACACTCAGGCTGCAAACAAATGGGTATTCGATAAAATCGTAGATGGTTCATTTTCTGATCCACCTATTCCTTTGAACTTGGCTTGTCATAAGCATATTTGAATGAAAGGATGCTAAACCTTTGTCCTTTCTACCCCCAATAATTTTGTCTTCCACAGAAAATACTCTTAGGTAAAAAAAAGTTACACCTCTCTATTAATTGAGAGAAGTCTCTCTTAGTTGATAGGATTCTATTGGAGGAATAAAATCAAGAACAGAGAGGATTTGAGTCATGCATGGTGTTGAGGGGTGAGTTCACTTGTAATCTTCTCTGATTGAAGATGTTTCATTTCTTTCTTACTGAAATACTTGAGCTATAGTTGTGACTTGTGAGCTTATGTTCCTCTTTTTATATTTCTAGTCATTCACCCTAGCAAGATTTCAATACCTTTTCATTTTTGTATACATTAAAAAATGAAATTAAGTGTAGACCAATTTAAAGCACTAGTATTTGAGAATCATAATACTTTATCCTAATATATTTAAAATACTTTATCCTAATGTATTAATTTGTATTATATTCACTCATCGAGTAGAACATTTTTAGTGTTAAATGCGCTTTTTTCTCCTTTCTATCTTTTTAAGCTAAAGAAAATAAAAACATAATAGAAAGAAAATATTGGGTAGTGTATTTAATACATAAATGTTTTTCTCCTTGCTATCATTACAACGTTCCATATACAAAAATAAAAATCAATAATTATACATCCATTTGGGTGTAATGCAAACTCAAACAAAATAACAAAGTCTAATAATAATAATAAAGCAAGGAGTGGACAAAGAGACTAAAAAACCTAAACCCAAAATCAACATGCAAGATCAAGTGCCAAGAGAGAGTTGTGCAATTTATATTTTTATAGAAATATAAATATTTATTTTTATTCTATTGACAATGACATTTAGAGTAATTAAATTGTGTTTTAGAATAAACCAGGCATAAAACTTAATGTCAGAATTAGACACTTGGGTAAATGCCACCATTTTTTATTTATTTATGATAATAAAAAAAATAAAAACTGAAAATAGAAATTTGGCATGGCCGGCTACAATCAGAAAGAGAAAAGAGAAGCGTGAGTAGAAGGTAGAAGCAGCACTCCCCAACACCAACCTTCAGAAAGAAGAAAGTTTCAACGGGTTCAGAAAATGGTGTTAAATCGCTGACACAAAACAAAACCCAATCAATTAACCCTAAAAATTTTTAAAAATGGAGTCGAGCGTTTTGGAATGCATCGGCGTCGAAATAATCGGAGTAATGTCTCCGGTTTCAGTCTGCATGTTCCTCGTCGTTCTCCTCGTTTACTCTCTCTCCTCGCCGTCAACCACCCCCGACGCCACCATCCGCACCGCTGCAAACCTCGTCTACGCCGAAAACCCCTCCGATTCGGCCGCACAGAAGTTCGAAGGCGCGCTCCTAAACGCCGTCGTTTTCGTCATCCTCATCGCTATAGTCACCTTCCTGCTCGTCCTTCTCTACTACTACAACTGCACCTCCTTCCTCCGCCACTACATGCGCTTCTCTGCTTTCTTCGTTCTTGCTTCCTTGGGTGGATCCATTCTTCTCTCCCTCATTCAACGCTTCTCCATCCCTCTCGATTCCCTCACGTGCTTTCTCATCCTCTTCAATTTCACCGTCGTTGGCGTTCTCTCTGTGTTCGCCGTTGGAATCCCTATTTTGCTTCGTCAGGGTTATATGGTTTGTCTTGGGATAATTGTTGCGGCGTGGTTCACCAAATTGCCGGAGTGGACCACGTGGACATTGCTCGTTGCGCTTGCGGTTTATGATTTGGTGGCGGTTTTGGCCCCCGGTGGTCCCCTCAAGCTGCTTGTTGATTTGGCTTCGAGCAGGAATGAGGAGCTTCCGGCGTTGGTTTACGAGGCTCGTCCCACCATGCCGGTGAACGGCCGTGGCGGGGCTTCGACGTTGGGGTTTTTGGTTGCTGGGGTTTCGGAGTCGGAGAATTCGAGAATTGAGCTTCAGGTGGTGTCTAGGGAGAATGTGGGTCGGAGAAATGAGAATGAGGGTGAATTTCATGGGAATTTTGGCCATGGAGATTCTGTTGCGGGTTTTAGGAATGAGGAGAGTGAGGGTGGGAGGGATGATGAAGGAGAAAGATCGCCGTTGGTAGCGAATCGGTTATCGGATTCGATGATTCAATTTGGTGGAAGGGAGAGTGAGGTTGTTGTTAATGACGAGATGTCTCCACTTGTGGAGATGATTGGGGTTGGGAATGAAGAAGGGGAAGGAATGAGGAGGGGTGGGTTGGAGATTGCTGATAGGGGAATTAAGCTTGGTCTTGGGGACTTCGTTTTCTACAGTGTGCTTGTTGGTAGAGCTGCAATGTATGATCTGATGACAGTGTATGCTTGTTACATCGCCATTATATCGGGACTAGGTTGTACTCTTATGTTGTTGTCAGTGTGCCGCCAAGCTCTGCCTGCGCTTCCTATTTCAATTGCATTGGGTGTTCTTTTCTATTTTTTGACTCGGTTGCTCATGGAACCCTTCATTGTTGGGACAGCCACAAATTTGATGATGTTTTGAACCGGCGTTGATTTTTGAGAGACACAGGCTAGGCTTTAGATGTGTTCTAATGCTTTCCTAGATGAGGAGTTTGTGTGTGGAGCGAAGAGGTAGTACTCCATGCTTCTTGTCACCTTAGTAGTTAGTAGTAACAGACTTGATCTTGTCATCTTATTTTTCTAACAGATAGTGTTGCAACTAATAGTCATCAATCATTTTGAAAAATGCAACCCCCCTCTTTCTTGCCCTTTTCTTCAGATCCTGTAAATTTAAAAATTAACAGAAATAGTTGTGTTGATCCAAATGTCTTCCTTGGCTTTTTGACATACATGAGGTGCGTAGAGGAAATTATTGGTAGCTAAGCGATTGTTGAGAATATCACTTCTACCTGAGTATATTTTTGGATTCTCCATATAATTGTAATCTTCAACCTGCTTCCCTTTTGTGTTTTTTCTATGTTGAATTCTGTCCTTGTTTATGCACATAATAATGGAATTATTCATTTTTATGGTTCAAATTATCAAATATATCTGACAAGCCAAAAAAACAATTCAGAAGACTGTCCCGTGTATGTTAAAACTGTTAATTTGAACTAGGAGGGTAGTGCCGATGGTTGATGGGGTTTATGTGTCATTTACGTTTAGATGTGCATGAACTGAGTGATCTGCATCGTATGCTTGTACTATAATGCAGACAACCACACTTCTGTAACAAATAAATTGTAAGTGTTCACAACTATGCATGTATTTATGCATTGCTATTTGTTAGTCCTATGCAGATATAGACAAGAACTCTGTTTACTAAGATATGATTGATTGAAATCTGGCTGCTGTAACAGGCTGTCTTCTTATGCCATTGAATGTTTGTTTTGCCTCTTTTATATTGCAAAATGGTTTACTTTGTGGAGAATAATTTTGAGTGTACTATGTCATGTCCTCCCTTGTTTTTGTCCTTTGGTTAGAATATTTGCAACTTCCTTTGTTGTAAGGACATATGGCATGCAGATCTGTCCATTTTCTTTCTTCTATTTAATGATCTACCTGTAATTTTCTTAGTAGTCTTTCAATCCGCATAATCTATTTGCAAGTATCCATGCTTCTTGTAAAGCAATCCTCTTCCTGGTGATCCTATTAGATAGTTTAAAAATTCTTTAAGGAACATCAAAGTGTTTCGGTCCTTGTGTGTGCATGAATTGGCTAACCAAGCTTTGTGCGAAAAATAAATCTAGATAGTTATGAGGTAGATAAATCTGTCTGAAGTCTCCTTAACAATCTGGTATCCTTCGTTATTTACCACTTCCCCAGTATCTGCATGTTGCATCTTTGTATAAGTATCACTAGGAGTTTCTGCTGCTTTACCATTAATAACACGTTCTACTTTAGCAAATCTAGTACAGTCAGTAGCGGCTCAAGAGTTTGTAGAGCCTAAAACAAATTTAAAAATAAATTGTTATTATTAGTTGAAAATTACAGTTCATTAAATATTATTTGTAATACCAATAAAAATTTAATAATTAAATTAAATATTTGAATTAAAAACTATTTTTAAATTTATTTTTTTTAATTTTTAAAAGTATATTAAAACTAAAAAAAAAATTTGGGGTGTCTAAAGCCCTTGCGATACTTGCTTACCTGCCTGGGCCTTCGGCCACCCCTGAACACAGTTCCTAGCTTTTTCAAACTTATGAGTTCAGCTTCATCACCACTCATCAATTTAATGCCATGTGCATAGACAATTAGTGCTGCAGTTTTCCTCTTGGCTCAGTGTCTATAGAATAAAGTATGATCATCCTGACTTTGGGCGTATCTGTGTCTCTTTACCACTGCCCCACCCTTTCAAACCATGCTTTAGGCGACTCCTTTATTGCATGATGTATAATGGCCTTCTCTAACCTGCAGATTGTGCCTTCGCTAAATTTATCTTTAAATTTAGGTGGAGGGCTCATAAGCACCTCTTCTTCCAAGTGACCAATTAGAAATGCATTCTTCACATCTAGTTAACTTAAAGCCCAGTTAATGTTTATTCCTAGGAATAGCAGAACTCAGAATTGAGTTAATTTTTGCCAAAAACGAAAAAAGGCAATAGTTACATGAATACCATTGGTCTGTGTAAAACCCTTTGCTACCTGCCATGCCTTGTGCTGTTCTACACTTCCATCTAATAAACAATGGTAACTCAACTATTTCCCAAGTCCTTTTTTCTAAGAGCTTTCATTGCATTACTATCATTTTTCAATTCGATCATCCAGTGAATCTGGGATGTGTCTTCTTGACTCTTGGCCTCAAAACATATTAAAAATTCTAGGATTTGCTTATGGTTACTTGACCGATTTTTGTAGGACCTATGTTTTGAAATGGGATGAAGAGAACATGTTCTTACTCTATTTCTTGACAAGAAATGCTAGCAACACACTAACACTCTTTACTATTGGTTAAAATTTATTAAAAATTACAAAAGTATGAGAGGAAAACAATAATTTGAGAGTGACAAAGAGTGTGATTTACATTCAATAAATTTTAGTCAACAGTGAAGGAATGTGTTAAAGAAAGTGAATTACAGAGTGTGTTACTAACATTCCTCTTTTTCTTATATCTCTAGGAATGTCAATATAAAAAATAGAATTGAAAAGATATTTGTTACTGACAACATCTGGTGTTCAAAACCTGGGTAGTCTGACTGGTCTTGTGTCGGTATGACTGACTGACCTTCATCAATTTCTGTTCCCCTTTGAGTGGAAGCCAGGAGCTCATGATTCGTTGTGATGCTTTGTTCAGCATATTATCTTCAATTTCTTGGAACATGGTTTTTCTGATCAAAACTTGAACATTGGTACTTCTCCGTCTATGCGCACCTGTTTTCTTCTGACACATTCTGACCACCTCTTTTAAGTGATACTGTGCACTTTCTTTTTCACATATTTTGCTTCTTGACTTTTGTCATTAGCTTGTTAATTATGCCATAGATTGATGTTTATTGTGTGTCTGGACAATGAATTTTGTTTTACAAATGTATCTTTTTGTAAAAATTTTTATAGCATTTTTGTGTAGAGTAAATCGTTTATCTTGTATCCACCATCTTCAGTATAGTAGCCAACCTACGTATTGACTTTGGGATTGGCTATTTTAGATTGACAACTACGGTTGCTTCCAAAAGTAATTTGAAACTTTGAATTTCGAAAAATTCCATTTATGAAAATATTTCATGGAGAAAATATTCATGCTCATATTGATTTTATTTTTATACACCTTATATTGATTATTCTGAAGCTTCACATGTTTGAGTTCTGTTGAAGCTTGCTACATGCGAAATTGCGAAACAGTATGTTTGATTATAGTGACACAGGGAATAAATGGGATGTATGGCGATTCTTGTATTTAATATGATATTCCTAACTCATCAAATGTTCAGCCCCTGAACATCACAATAGAGAGTCGCCAGGGATGATGGAGGATGGATAGGTTATAAATATATGATCAGGACATGAAATAGAACTACTAGCGCCTGGTTCACGCAATGCAATAGAGTAATAGATGTAAAAGTTTTTACTGGCAACGTTTCAGCCATGTGCGTTACTTTAGTAAGAATATGATCATGTTAAACATTTCTTAGATTAATGTGATAGCATGCTTGATTTCGGGCTTATTTTTAACATTATTAGTTATAGTTTTCTCATTAAATTTACATTTGCAAGTTTTTTATTGTTTATTTTGACCGTTATTAGTTATAGCTTCCCTCGTTATACTTACATTTTTTAACCGTGTTTTATGTCGTGAACATACATTTGTTGCTTAAAATAATGAGGTGATTTTACATTACTCTGTTACCATTTTTTCCTCTTTGAACCCATTTGAAATTCAAATCCCAAAAATTAACGTCATTTGCACAATACCAATTCTTATAGCTCGGTTATTTTAAAATTGAGAAGGAGGGTTCCAATCGACGATCATCCACCAAAACTATTAGCTTATTTTCTGTTAACAATTAACATTTTTTTTGGTCAACTGTGAACACATTATTTGAATACCCAAACGCGACCTTAATTCTACATGCGTCAAGAAGATGCACATGGATTATGCCACGTAAGAGTCCACCAGACTGACAAGTGTACGTATACAAAAGAACATGAAGGGAGCTTTGTCCATTTCATCCATTCATTAAAATATTAACACATCTAATGGGAGGGATTCATTTGGGCAAATGCAAAAGTCAAGATGAAGCTCAAGATCAAGATCGTCAAGACCTAGGTCATACGCCACCTTAATTTCCCTATAATTCTATCACTGGCTTTGATTTTGTTTCCAAATGCAGAAGTTAAGATCAAGCTCCTCAGCCGAGGAGGTTGCCGGAAGCATAGACACTCTGTCGGAGATTCTTCTCCGACTACCGGCGAAATCCCTTCTCCAATTAAAGTGCGTGTGCAAGCAGTGGCTAACCCTCATCTCCGACCCAAACTTCTGCCACTCTCACTCCCTCCACAACTCTACCCCTTGCGCCCTTCTTCTCTCTTACTCCCACAACCTCTACGTCCTCCCTTTGACCCCAACCTCCCCCACACGCCTTCTCAGCCTTGATTTCCTCAACCGCCCTCACCTTTCCGTTGTTCGCTCCTGCAACGGCCTTCTCCTCTGCCACTCCAACTCCACCTACTTCGTCTGCAACCCAACTACCAGAAAGTTCCACACTCTCACTCTCCCTTCCCCGCACCAACCGCGCGCTCTTTATCTCGCTTTCGACCCTTCCACATCGCCACACTATCAACTCCTTTCACTTCAAACACTCCATAGCCAAAATTCCCACCAAGTCCCTTGCGTCTTCCACGTGTACTCCTCCAAGACCCGTTCCTGGACCCACCCCCAAGCTTCTTTCACTGCCCCATCCGAAATCATTACTGCTTCTGGGGTTTATTGCAAGGGTGCCATTCATTGGTGCAACGATGCTGATAGTTCTCTTTACTTTAACATCGATGACATGTCCCTCAGATATTGGCCTATGCCTCTGTCTGATTATGAATGGTGTAATCGACGAGTTGACTATTTTGGACAATGTGGGGGGCGTTTGCATTTGATAATTAGTATCATTAATCAACCTTTGGAGTTCCATGTTTACGAGGGAAAGCAAGATTACTCGGCTTGGTTATTGAAACACCATGTTGATGTTAATCCCATGAGAGTTGAATTTCCAGAGTTACGTTGGGGTTGGGCAAATTGGGCCCTTCCCTTTTATATTGCTTGCCCTGTAGAAGAAGAAAAGTCGATGTTGATATTGCTTCTTGGTGGAACTGTCCTATCGTATTGTCCTTGGAATCGAACTTGGAGAAGAGCGTGCGAGTTTTGGCCGGGTATGACCATTTATGATGCCATGGCTGTTTATATGTTGGGTCCTGTCTTTCAATATTTTGAAAACTTTTCTTCTCTTCAAACTTAGTGTGTTAACTTTTAGGAATTTAAGTCTTTGATTTCAAATTTAACGACACAGTTTTATTACACTGATTTTCTTGAAAAATGAAACTCCTAAATACATGAAATGAAAATTTGGCCATTAAATTTAAAATTAATGGCTTAAATTCAGCCAAAGTCACTAGCTACCTAAAGGTGTAGAGAATCCAAACTTTCAATGGGGGTGAATCCGTTTTGTTGGCAGAATATCTTGATTCTTGGATCTCTGATTTTTGGTTGGGTGCTGGTTTTTAAAACGTATCTTTGTTGGTTATACATGTGGATAAATATATTGACTACAAAGTATATATATATAGATTTAGATTTGATTAGACGCCACTGCATCTATAAAATATTCATATGTTGATATCATACTATATGATGTTTTGGTGGATAATTTAGAAACTACAGTTGTAATAAATCTGCTTTTAGAAAATACTGTAGAAACGAAATGGTCAGCTAGTGAGATAATGAAAAAAATATTTTTTTTAACATGTGTTTAAGGATACAATAAAAAACTAAATATTAAATTTTATTAAAAGTTGTAACATTTAAGTTATTAATGCATTGAATTTTGTAATGTCTTACTATTTCATTTCTGAGAAATAGTCTTTGAAGTTAAGGTTGTGAGACAATAAATTATCTTCGTTTTTATTAAAAATATTATAAAATTTCTAAAAAAAATTTTACTTTAAAATTATAAAATGACTATTATTTTTTTTTGGCTAAAAGAATATTTTTAAAAAAAATTATTTTTATTATGTGTCTTTAGTCATATTTTAAAAAAACTGAATAAAAAAAATATGATTGTTTGAAAACTCTACCTACCCTAATGATAGATGGTTTCAAGGTGATTCTAATTTGTTCTTTGGTAGGGGCAACCCAAAAATATAGTTGTTTCATCAAATAACCAAACGCTACTAAATATGACATTTTGTCAATAATGATTTACAGTAATAAAGACAGCAGAAAATAGTTATATTTATTAGTATGGTAAATGGAATGTAAAAAACAAAAAAATAAATATATATATATATATATATATATATTTATTGAAAATATAACTAATTTTTTTTTAATCTGGTGATTTATTCTTTTTATAAGATATAAAAAGGACCGGAAGGATCAAAGTCTATTGCAAATCTAATTGCACACTTGTATAAAACGTGGCATGCCATGCTTGTGTTTTTGCAAGTGATAATGAATGTAAAGCACGATTTTTGAGACACTTTAATGGAGTTATATGAAAACAAATTTTTCATATATTTTAAACCCAAATCCAAACAAGCCATGAGTATATTCAATTTTTATCGATTTCAAACTTTTCAATGCATTAACTATGCGTGTTTTATTTTTTCTTCATTATCATTGTACTGTTTCTTTCCTTTTCTTGTACTAAATTTTCTATTAGGTTGTTTTCTATGTTGACTTCAAGCTAATAGTTTAATTATATTAGAGTTATTTTTCTTTTTCATTTTTGGATTTTTATGTATTTAAAATTACATCCAATACTTAATATCATTATGCATATATGTTAAAATATTTTATTTTTTATTTTTGATCTTGTTTCACGAAATTTTTACTCTAAATCACACCTAAAAAAAAAACATTTGAGTTATCTTTTGTTTTGGCATTTTATTCTTACGAACTGGTTAGTCAAATTAGTTGAATCGAGAACTGGCCATATGACCATTATAAATGAAACTCAAAATCGGATGCATACAAAATTAGTCAATAATCAATTGAAGCGGTTAAAAATTGGTCAAATCAATAAGAATTAGTGGTTTAATGATCGTAATTAGTTGATAATCAACTGAACGAGTAGAATGACAAGATAGGGCACAACATGCACAAGGATGACAATAATGCTATTTAATGTTGGATATTGACGACAACAACATGTTTTCAAAGTGTTTTTAGAGAAAGAAGTGAGAAACACAAAGTTTGATGTTAATAGAGTATTTAGTAGTGAGAGGGAAATTAAGTTACATTCATTACACTTACACATACTTGCCCATGCCAAGTAGTGAAGTGCAACCCTAGAACAATTCACATCTATTTTATGGGCTTGGGCCATATAACTACTACGTGTTAACCACAAAAAAAAAAACAATTTGCAAAGCATATTTTCTTATTCAAACCACTTTGTTTTTTTATTTTGGAAATTTAATTTCTAAAAATATATTCAATATGTTTTAAAAATTAATTTTCAAAATTCATTTATAAGTCACTTACAAATTATTAAATTTTCAAATAATTTATATTAAACATACTTTTTAAAATTTAAATTAAAAAGTATGCGAATAACAATAATATATGGTGCAAAAAGCAATTACTTGCATGTTATTATATAGCAATGAGTTAACTTTTTCTTAACTTGAGTTTATGTTCATAGATTGAGCTTATTGTACCAGAAATTTGGGCACCATATAGTCTTTTATGGTCTTCTCTCAGTTTTTTTTGTGTAGCCAACCATCAGTGATTGTCTTGTCTCAATTTTTACCTAAAAAAGACTTGAGTAATAACAAAATATTTGAGCATTTATAAAACTTCATTTGTAATTTAGATAGTATAATATTTTTTAAAAATGTTTATTATTATTTCATTAACTATTATTATACAATTCCGAATACGTATATTATTTTTTATTATTTATGATTAAAATATATTTAATAATATTTTTTGATTGTATTTTAATCACAATTATACTAAATTTTACAATAGTAATAATATAAGTAATGTAAAAGTTAGTAGGTTAATAAAAAATGTTAATAGTTGATTTTATAAAAAAATTGAAAAAATCTAAAATTTGTAGTTGAGTTATAATATGTTTAAATTATATAATTGAAAATTTTTAATTTTTGAATAATATTAAATCAATGAATAAATTCATTGTCTCATTATTATTAGTAATTTTTATCATAATTAAGTTCCACGTATGCAAGAAGAATAAAAGTATGGTTATTTTATACTAGAATAATAAAATATATGAAAAAAATGATAGTATAACTTTTGAAAAGAATAAAAAAATTATTAAGATAAAACGTAAGATTACTCCTAAGTTGTTTAAAAGAATGATCTATACAAAATTAAAACTTTTTACTAGTTACATAATTTCTAAATTGATTTTACCAATTTTAATTGATGTAAGTGATGAACAACACAAAAATTTGGATATATATAATGATAAAAGACATTAATTTTTTAGTAAATGCATGTAAACAACCACAGTAAAAAAATATAATTAAGTTATATGTAGATGTTGTAATTTCTTATGTTGTTATATAACTGTTTGTATTAATTAGGATCAAATTATAAAATCTAATATGTGATAAAGATGATTTCATATGATAAATTAAACTTTAAGTCCTAACTTCAAATATAATAAATTTAAAAATATATTATACTAAATATCATCTATTGGATTATTTATCATTAATCATTCTCCCTGACAACCATTTATCAAAAACAAATTTATTTTCACATTAAAAATAATTATTTTCATTAAAAAATTAACGTAACCTAATTTCATTGAAATAAAAAATTTAATTACTGAAACATACTGAAAATTATACAAATTTTTCTCAATTATCAAATTTATTTAACATTTCAATAATTTCAATTCTACATTATTCACTTTTTAGTTACTTTTAACATTGTTTAAGGTAAATCAACGCACAAGGCACAACCACTTCCTCTTTATTCTTCTTCACAAATTTCGTTCAACAACCACCTTCTCTTAAAATTTTATACTATTACAAAACTGAATTAATACAAAATTACATTTAAAGTAAAAATAAAAAAAATAAAAATTCTTCCTACTTATGCAATGCCATCAACAACTTGGCTAAGACAAAGCAACTGAAAGAGGGAAAAGCATATGGATTTTATTTTTTTCAGCAAACTTGAGCCCAAAATCAAAGATGAAGAGGAAGAATGAAGATGAAAGGGGAGTGAAAGGTTGGAGCTGCAACGTGACCCTTCAGGGAGTTGCCATGTGGACCAATCGCTGCAAGTATAAGTATTGTTATCGTCTTTGACACAGTAGACATATTCAAGATGTTGCCATATTCCTAATCGTTGACGTAATTTTTTGTTTTCTAAATATTTTTGTCATTTTTTGTGTAATACATGTGTCAGCCAACATAAATGTCGGCATTTATGGGGTTGATATTAATTTTTTAAAAATAAAAAAATTCTCATATATATATATATATACATTTTTTTTATTTATAAAAGTCTCATTTTAGTAAGGTGTTTTTAATTTTACCCTAACTAGCTAAAAGAACCCCCACAATTGTGTAATATATTTTGACTATTCACATTACATCAAAATCATTTGTTATATTTATAAATTGTTTAAAATAAATAACCCATTTTTAATCACTTTATTAATATAATATTTCTTAAAGAAAATGCAAACAATTCATTTGAAATTGTGGGTAATTTTGATTTTCACAGTATTCTAAAGAGTTTCACCTTTAAATTTTACTTTGATTAATTATTATGTTTAATAGTTTATGTATAAGAGACATATAAATTTATTTTTGTATATAGTTAAGATTATAATTATTCTAATTGAGTTTAACAATCTATTTTAATTATATAAAAGAGATTTACCCTATCTAATTGAAATGAATCCTATTTACAATTACAATTATGCACGGAATGAACACAGCACTAAACTAGATTACAAGAACAGAGACGAGACGAGAGCTTGATCGGAAAGGTGAAGAGAAAGGTGTGGCAGAAGAAGTTGTTGGATTTCCGAGGATGTCTTCGCTTCCAGACGAACTGTGGCGGCGAATTCTGGAAATGGGAGTGGAAAGTGGGGATTTGAGTTACAAGGAACTCTGCTGCGTCTCCATCTCATGCCGCCGCTTCCATCGCCTCTCCTCCGAAGATTCTCTCTGGAACCGCCTTATCTCTTCCCACTTTCCTCAAACCAAACCACTCCTCCTTTCTCCCCCTTCTTCTAAATCCCTTTATAAATTAAGGTTTTCATCTTTTTCGATCTCCCAAACACCCTCTCTGGCGTTTTTGTTCTATTTTGTTATCTGGGTACTTGTAAAGTTCTGATTTTTATTTGTTTGTTGAATTTTTGGGTGGGTGAGGTTCGAGAGAGACAAGGAGAGGAGAATAGCGGCTCATAGGAGGGTTCTATTCAGAAAGCAGAGCCAGATTTCCGAACATGCTAGAAGGCTCAGAGATATTGAGACACGTGTGGCTCATGAAACCATCAAAGCCAAAGAAACTGCTCAAGAGTTATATAATTTGCGTAGGGTCAGGTACTTCACCTATTTAATCATTTATCATTCACACAAATTAAAAAAAAAAAAAAACACTCTTTTTCGCCCTATCAGTTCAAGTTGAATGAACGCTATGCTATCTTTTTGGTGCTTTGTATGCTTTAAAGTTATGATAATCGTATGATCTTTCTTTGCTTTTATCATAGAAAGGGGAACGGGTGGATTGGATTTTTCACTTCCTATGTAGCTTCTAGTTAATGTTGCACTTGTTAAGTTAGAATTATACCCTGCATTTATTAACTATTGTATTGTATCAATTCTTAATTTGTACTATTGCTTCTTTTTGTTGTGTTTTCTATGGGTCCTTAGTCTTTATTTATTAGCATTGGTATCCTTAGAGTGAATTTTGCCCTGTTGATAAGGTTTTGTGATTGGTTTTTGCAGACAAGCCTCTGTATCTTTGAATGTGTGGCAACCGGAGGTTGTCCGGGGTAGGCAAAGACAGATGGTGGAGCAATGTGATGTACCTGCAGAATTTCGGATACGTGCAGTTGAGATGGAACTCATGCTCTGTAAGCAACAGATTGTGGGGTTGGAGAAGTCCTATGTAAGTGTTGATATTTCCATATGACATTTAAAGGTTCGATGGCTTGTTACTTACACAAAATTGTACCAGAAAGATGAAAAGCGCAGGCTTAAGATTGCAAAAGAAGAGTTGGCATCAATGAATTATCATCCTGTCCAGCAGCACACCCCTTTGAGTGGAGGGGAGAATGAACACAATGTTAAGCGGAAGAAGTTGAAAATTTGTAATAGCTGTAAGGCTTTCATTTTAATTCCCGCAATAATATCTGTATACAAAATCTAAACTATTGGTTGCTCAAGAATGCTTTTTATCCCCCGGCTTTTGGCTCTTGACTTGCATCTTTTAGTCTGTTAAATTTCATTTGTAAATAATGCCTTTGTTCCTTAGTTGTTGTTAGCATAGCAATTGTTGTCAATATGCAATTACGATATTGGAATTGCCCACCCTTTTGGTTTTTTTATCTTAATGTTCAGTTTGCATGCAAAACTAGTAATGAGATGTTTTTCTCTTGATTGTTTGGTGCAAGAAAAGCAATAAAAAATGGCATAGATGGATATGCATTATGCAATAAGTACATAATTATGTCATTTTCCATGTTACAAACAAACATTATGGTTCGGATTTGTCGGTGAGGTGCTGATCAACTGTCTATTGCAAATTGATTAGCTTTCTGTAAAGAAGAGTAGCCTTCATAGGATTCTTTACATATTAAAAACCGTATATCTTGTATCAGTAATTGATGTGTTTATTGTGAGGCTTAGGGGTCATCACAAGTGTACTGTCTTTGGCATTATCATTTTCCAACAATATACATAAGCAGAGGGGAACGTTTTACTTGTCTAAATTTGATGTTGATGCAACACAATTTATACTTTTTACTCTCTTCGTGATTTGTGGATCTTGATTTAAACACCTGCATTGTCTGTCTTTAATTTCAGCAATTGGTTTTTGATAAAACACAATGACCGCACTTGATTTATGTAACCAACTCCACGAGTGGGAAAAGCCTTTGGTTAATCTTTTCTTCATCCATGATTATAGATATCATAATGTAACTAGTTGATTACAAAAATTGATTCCTTCATTTTGTGCATTTTATTTGGAACTTGTAAGTTGAAAGCACTTGCATTGTCTATCTTTCATTTCAACAAGTATATTATATGTTTTGGCAGGAAGACATTGCATCGGATGATGAGTTGAAGTTATGGGAAGACGAAATTTGCTGTTCTTTCTTCCATTGAAAAGTTGTTCCTGCCGCGAAGACTGACTGTGTGAATCCTCTGATCATTGTGGATAGGATTAAGTAGCAATAAGGATAATGAAAACCTGATGAGCTAGAAACTTAATGAAAAGGGTCTTAGAATCATTATGTGTTACTTAAAGAGTTCAGATAGCCACTTGATCACTCTCTTTGGACTTGGTGGAAACCTTGTGAGCTAGAGGGAAGCATGATCATCATAGGACGGGGCAAGTTGTATACTCAATATATTTTGTTAGACCTTGATGTTCTGCCAATTGTCGTTTTCTTCTGGTTTCTCAGATTGAGAATTTATGATTACTTACTGCATCCGTATCCTCCATTGAAGGAAAAATTCATTAAAAAGCATTAATAGTTATTAGTTGGCATAGATAGTGTTTTTATTCTGCGTATATTTTATTGGACCTAATCTACTGTGTCTTAAGTGTACACGTCTAGTATTGTTGAGAGCCTTTATTTTACTATTATATTTATGTACTTTTTACGTAGCTTGTAAAAAACTGGGTGTTAAGGTTTGTTGCAGGAAGTGTTAGATTGTGTCAGTTTTCCATGTTTACTAAGGTACAACAACCAAGGCTGCAAATTGTCTCACGAGTACAGATGATAGATGGTGTTTGTACATTTAAATATAAGCACTTAAGCAGTATTGTACCACAATGCACGCCCCCTTATGTTATAAGGTACCAATGAGATGTATTAGGGATAACCAACCAGCAGGGTAGGTCATCTTTTAATATTTGGGTTTTAACTTTGCCCTTGGGTTAGACTTGATTTTAGGTATTCAAAAACAGTGAAATTTTTTTAAATTAAAAGTGTAATAAATATTTTTTTTACTAATATTAAAAAGATATCAAATTTAACTTTTAAAGCTGAGTTTAAGTATTTTAAAGTAATACATTTTTATGAAAAAAAATATTTATCACACCTTTGCATAATTTTATTATTTTTGAACCTTTAAACTTAGTTTTAAAGGTTAAAGTTAACAAAATTTATAAAAGTTAACTATTTTTATATGCTTAAGTTTTATTTTGTTAAATTTGTTTAATGTTTTTTTTATAAAGAGAAAGAGTTAATAAATTTTTTTAACATTTTTAATGATTGATCAAGTTTTTAAAATGTTAAAGTAATTTTAAAAAAATGATTGATTTGAAAGATAAGTATTTTGATATTTTAAAAAATAAGTCAACCAGGTAAAGTGTGTAGCAGAGTGTATTATTAGTGCATCTTTTATATCAATTGTGACTTAGTTCTTATTTTGTCTGTATCTAAAGCTTTGCTTTATTGTCCCCATCATCCCTGTTGTTGTTTCTTGCTTTGCATTACATCGCTATGATTCTTCCCCTTAACGACTCATTTTGGAACAATTGAGGAGTGTTCTGAAGTCAAATAGGACCGTTTAGCCGTTACATTGCAGATTTTGATTTACTTTTTCATGGATCCATGCACTTTACAAATATTGATGTTGTACCCCTTTTCATTCATTTTTATTTTACGATTAAATTTGACCCCTTAATAACAGTAAAATTTGATTAAAATAAATTAAATAATGTATTTATTATATTAAAGTTATAAGTATAATAAATATTTTTTTATACGAACTTCAACAGTTTTCTTTTATTAATTAAGTATGCTGCTTGTAACATAATGATGGACATAAGCTTGTTTATGATGGACAACATCTGCTTTTTCTTATAAACAAGTTCGAGAAATATTGCTACTTAATTTAATTATTTTACTTATTTTTAAATTATTTTTAATGAATTTTAGTCCATAATTATGTATTAAAAAACGCTAATAAATTAAAGAATTTATTGAAAAATTAATTTTGTATTATACTTTTAGTAGAAAAACTTAAAAACTAATTTTTAAACTTAACTACGCTTGTCCACACCATTGCACTTACTAGTTTTATTAAATTCAATTACACTTTATTTTTTATGTGCATAAAATTACTTTAAAATAAAGGTTAACAAAATTGTTCTTTTAATAAGAATCAAATTATTAGCTGAAAACATAGATATATAGTGCAAAATATTACATTAATAAATAATTTTGTTAATATAAAAAAATTGACATGTTATACAGTTTATAAAATATATTGGATTAATAGTGTAGCTTCACTACATTTATCTTAACAATTAATTTTATTTTAATAAAAAAATCCTAATATAATAATCTAATGTTGGATTTACCCGTCTTGTTTGTTATACGTGAGAGAAAGCCTAATGTTACGTTGCATACCAATAATTATCATTTCATGGAAGAATAAAATTCAATTGAATTGGACAAATGAGTTGGACCTTATAATAATTCTTTATATATTGGTAGCTTTCAGAACAATATGCAACGTAGCAAATATTTTGATAAAACACTTCATATATTTTTTAAAATATTATTTTTATAAAGTATTAATTGTTATATCCCTCCCCTTTGCATAATTTTTAATTTTAAGTTTAATGAGTATTAAAATAAATTGTAATTAATGGGTGAACGGTAGGTAAGGATAGGCTGAAGATAATTAAAATCAAAATTAGATTAGTTTGCTAGATTTGATAAAAGAAAATGATTTTGTTAACATCATAGTCTATTTAATTTTAAGTTCTTAAAATATAAACTTTTTTATAAAATATTTTTTCTTATAAAAAATTACTAATTTTTTTTGCTTAAAATTAGTCATAAAGACTGAGATTAAGATTTTTAGTAAAAAACTGTGTCACTTTATAAAATATATTGATAAAAAGGTATATTAAATTTCATTTAATGAAAAATCAAATAATCTTTCTAGAAACATGTCCTGACAATCTCTAAGACTAAATTCATCTAAACTTCTACTAACAAAAGCAATGCTCAATTTACAAAATAAAAGTATAAGAAAAAGAAAAAAACGTTCCACGTATTAAGTGTAACTAATGTTTAATGACGATTTGGACTTTAAATTAATATAATGATAATATCACACCAGTAGTGTAAGGTGTGACCTATTTGGACGCTTAATTTTTTTAAAACGTTTTAATTAAAATTGAAAGTGAAATATAGTTGCCATCTAATTAATGCTATATAACGACTGATCCAAAATGTGAGAAGAATATGTGATTAACATTGTTCTAGCTCATATTATAGTCTGTGATGCGTTTCGATATCATTTCACTTTTTTTTAAAATTTTTTTTAACTGCTCTTTATATTAAGATTTATATATTTTAGATTCAAATATTCATTCTTTATAAATATAGTGATATCTATTTACTATATAGAAAGGAAGGTTATTTTATATCAAGTTTCAATACTCCTGGTTTTTACCCATAAACACTAGAAACCTTATTAAAAGAAGCCAGTATAACATCCGGTAGAGATTGTCTTCATGCATTTCTTCAGACCTAGAAAAGGTTGATGTAACCTATACATATACAAAATAAGTGTATTTAATAGACAATTCTTTAATTGTCTACACCTAATGAGATAGATGATATGATAAAAGAGAAGGATAAGGAATGAGGAATATTAATTAAATAAGCATTAACACTGTTTAAGTGTTTTATAAATCAAAGTTGTAAATTAAAGAAATTTTTAAGTGGTAAATGATAACATTTTTTGATTCTCTAACTTATGATTATGAGGATTCTGTAACTGTTGTTTCTTTTTATATTTTTAGGGTGTGCTACCATGCTATTAGTCCCCTCAAAGTCGGTCCACAAACAGGCTTTGCGTGTATGACCAGATTAAAGAAATGTAATCACAAGAAAAATTTCCTTTCATAATTAATGACCCTTATTATTCTTAACGTTATTTGCATATCAGAATTCATTACACCACTTAGCAGACCATTTTATCTTATAGCCAAAAGAAAAAATGATGGGTAAAAATTAAAACTTTTGAAAGCACATGAAACAGTGACAGTTGGATACAAAGTGAAATACGTGTTGGAGAATGGGTTTCTTACGTAGTAGATATTTACATGAAGGTCAATTCCATGTGGGGTACACACGTTTAATGATTTTAATCAACACACATTGAAGCTCATCTCTAGAAGAAGATGGAGGGCTTCAAGCTTGCTCTTTAATGCTTATTACTCAAGGGACACCGACCAGTGATATTCATTTTAAGAATGCATAATATAAATAAATAAAGGATTTCAATAATATGAAAAACACTTGATTTATGTTTCATTTAAGAATTAATGAAGCATGCGTATGCTTTTTGTTATTCAATAAATTCGGATATAGTCACTTAATCTTTTCTTCTCTTCGATAATTTATTTGTGATTTTCACTAGAATTTATGCATAGTGGAGGAAATCATGAAAAGGAGCAATGAGTAGTAAAGTATATGTAATGTGTTGTTTTGCTGGATGTGAATCAAACCCACACACAGAGTAGTTACATATATATGAGATCGTTATCCTTTCACAGAAGAGGGAGTAATTAAGATCCAAAGAAAGTGACAGAAACTAAGTACTAACACACCATTTCAGTACATGCCACAGCTTGGACACATGCTTAAGAGGAACTGCTCGCTGCTCCTCATAAAGAAGAAAATACACACACACTTGCACTCTCTCTCTCTTCAATATATTAATGGGTTAAAAACAAATAAATTAATTAAAATTTTTTAGCAATATACTCTTTATCCATTTTTTTTTGTAATTGGCAGATTCTTTTTTAAAGTGAAATCAATTTAAAGAAAAATCAATTTATAAGATATAAGTATTTTAACTTTTTTAAAATTTGACTAATTATAAAGTGTGTCACTGGCGTTTCAAAGGGTTAATTATGTAAGAGGTTTGATAAATAATTTAATTATTCACTTAATAAGTTCTTGTTATTTGCATGAGGGCTTATACTATAAACCTGCTACAAAACCTGCCTCTGTGGTCACGTAAAACTCATCCTTAAGCAGAAGGTTGAACCCAAAATTTTATGAGTAGATGCGCCTAAACACCAATATTTTGAGTATGAAACTTATTGTAATAAACTAAAAGATTTATTTTAATAAGTTGAAATGAGAAACTTACTGAAATGATTAACTTCAAAAAATTATAAGAGTTACTAAATTAATGCTTGATCCCAACACTTTGTGTAGGGGAAAAAGAAAAAGGAGAGGGGGGAGGTGGGGAGAAAGAAAGAAAAGAATGTTCTGAGATGTTTATTTACATATGAAAGAAGAGAGAGAAAGGAAATAAAAATAAAAATTCTTAGATGCCCAAATATATGCTACAAGAGGAACATATAAGTCAACTAGAGCTTATCATAAACCAGCTTTTGAAGGGATTGTTGCGCCCCTTTCTTATCCAAATGACATACATGAAGTTGGCTACCTAAAGAAATTTGAGTTGTTTGTTTGAGTAAAATTATGTGAAAAGATAAAACAAAAAGAAGGTGAGTCCCCCCTTTGTAATCTTTCCCTAAAAAATGGAGAGAGGGGAGGGTGTGGGTTTATGTGTTTTCATTTTTTTTTATGTTTTTAATATTTTATTTAATACAAAAACCATAAAAATAATTTATTAAGAAAATAACTATAATAAAAATTTTAATTTTTTTATTAATTAAACTTATTAGTATAATTATAACTTTTAATAATTAAATAATTTTTTATTTTTATTTTTACTCATCAAAACAAAAGTAGTAAACTTTTTTTCTATTTCTTTATTTTATATTTCTACCCATTTAAATAACATATATTTTTTACTTTATTTTTACTCAAATTTTCTCTTTTTATTTTTTTATATTTTATCCCTGATCCAAATAGAATGTAAGATATTTAAAGTGTTAAGCATTTTTGGATAAAGAAGTTATTTAAGCTAAAAATTTATTGTCTTACTTTCTTGTGATTGTAGACAGGACCACAAAATGGCACCCACAAATTTTAATACTCTCTCTCTCTCTCTCTCTTGGCATCTTAGGCAACGAAAAAAGGAATGAAATTCTCATGAAACAACGAATAAGGTGTATATTGAAAGAAAATAGAACTTTTTGAGTACTAATATAACCACTTTTGAAGCAATCTTTGATTATTTTTGGGTTTTGCTGAAGCTAATCAGATCAACCCAAAAAAGATAACACAAGAGGCTGAAATTGGAGACTACTAAAAAGCAAAACGTTACTGCTAATGGAAGGTGAAGGATGAGTAGTTCTTTTCAGACGATCGAGCTTAAACTGTTTCATATGAATACAATAATCGATTCAGGGGTTGAATTGATCTTTGCAAACTAAAAGTACAAATTAAATATTTATCCTGCATGATAAAAGACAAGTAACCACAAATCATTGTTCATTTGTTCCAGATTCTCTAAACATTCCCCAAAAGCTAGCAACAACCTTTACCCAAATCTCAAACCTCTCTGGGTATCCTTACAGTATTTTCTGCTCTTCTCTGCCAAAATTTCATTTATTGTTAGCCGTCCACTAAATTTTGGCAGTACCCCACATTCAATTTTCCTGTTTGCTGAGGGAAATTAAAAAAAAATTGACATGAAAATAAAAAATCATTCGTTGGAAAGTAATTAATGTCGTAATTAAGTTTCCTTTGAATTTTTATGTTTGGTTAGGGACTTCAATTTTCATAAATCAGAAGAATAGATTCGAAGAAAACTATACACTGGGTACTCTTTGAACCTCAATTTATTAGGTGTCGACCAAATTTAAGTAAAAATAACATGGTGATTAGTGTGCTAACAATATAGAGGCACTCTCAAGCAAACACTTCAATAAAAAATACAAATATTAACATTAATTATTTTATTTTTTTATTAAAATATAATAAATATTTTTCTAATACAAAATATTTAACTTCTTTTACATTATTAAGTGATATGATATAATTACACTCAAAATATTATTTTTGATAATAACTAATCATTGTAAATTTTAATTTAATAAAAAAATAGTTTTTAGTGTAATTACATTATATTATTTAATTAATAATACAAAAAAAGAATCAGATTAAACAAAAAGGTAAGAAAAAAATTAAATTCTATTAACTTTTGGTGACAAGGTGGCACGTGACTGAAAAAGGGAAAAGAGAAAAAGGCTCAAACTCCTGGCTGACTTTGGTTTCTACATTGACTGCAAAATTATAAAGGCAGTAAAAGAGTTAGGTGACTTAGGAAGGTAGATGAAGGATAGTAAAAAGCTTTAGTTTCCTTTGTTCAAAGTCATCGAGTATATAAAGCACTCACATGCATTGGTACTATTTGCAAGCTCTCTTGGGAAGTTTAGCTTAGCTAGAAAAAGGGAGTGAGTAGAGAGTTTTGAGGCAGAAGGTGGAGTGAAAATAACCCATGGGGAGGCCTCCTTGCTGTGACAAAGTTGGCATCAAGAAGGGTCCATGGACACCTGAAGAGGATATCATCCTTGTCTCTTACATCCAAGAACATGGTCCAGGAAATTGGAGATCAGTGCCTACTAATACTGGTAAATTTTCAACTGTTTATTTCCTAACATGTTTAAGTTCTTTTCTTCTTCTGTTTTTTTCGTAAGATGTGATATATTGTTATAACAATGCCTTCTTCTTGATCTATATGTATAAATATAGTTTTGTCTTTGAAATCAGTTACTACAATTTGAATCAAACTGATCATATATAGTTCAAACCTTTCTTCTCGAAGGGTTGTCAAGGTGCAGCAAAAGTTGCAGGCTTAGATGGACAAATTACCTCAGGCCAGGAATCAAGAGAGGAAACTTCACTCCCCATGAGGAAGGAATGATAATTCATTTGCAGGCTCTACTGGGTAACAAGTAATCCTCGCATCACATGTCATAACCCTCTCTTTGCTCAACAAAAAATGAAATGAAGAATGAAATCAATCTTGCTGTTACTTCCCAGTCCATCAAATACCATGAAAATTTTGAACAGCAAAATTCAGCCACATGATGTGTACTTTCATCAATTAATTAAATTTGATACAAAATTAAAACGACTTTTTTTTTAATTTCCTATTTTAGCATATTCCTATGATATGTCTGAATTTGTGAAGTTGTTAATTCTTGTGCAGATGGGCAGCCATAGCTTCCTACCTTCCACAAAGAACAGACAATGATATAAAGAATTATTGGAACACACATCTAAAGAAGAAGCTGAAGAAATTTCAAGCAGCCATGGAGCCCCACTCAGTATCAGACTCAACAACCAGTGGTCAATATTTACCAAAGAGCTTTAATGACAGAAGAAATTTAGATATCAGCAACAACATTAATCATGCCTCATCCGTTAGGCTTAGTCAGTCTCAGTCCTCCACATATGCCTCAAGCACTGAAAACATTTCAAGGCTCTTAGAAGGTTGGATGAGATCTTCTCCAAAGCCACTGAAGAGAACCCAAGATGAAGAGCTTCAAAGCAATGATGATAACTTTGGAAACAGTAATAAGGTAGTGAAGTCAACATCAGTGCCTGCTTTGAACCTTCAGCGTCAGCACAAAAGAACCAAAGATGAGCAAGAGGGTGGAGGAGATATAGTGTCTCATGACGAGTTTGATTCTATTCTTTCATTTGAGAACCTAAACAATGCTGCTTGGGATAAGTCCACTTGTGATTCTATGCCTGAAAAGAGTTCTGAACCTGCTCATGATCATGATATAGCTGCTGAGAGGAATAGGCAAAAATCTGAGAACAATAGTGCTCCTCCATTGTCATTTCTTGAGAAGTGGCTCTTGGATGAAAACGTTGGTCAAGTTGAGGAGATGATGGAGTTATCTCCTATCTTCTAACATGGAAATCGCCAATCCCTATAAATTTGGGATGTGACATTCATATCATATGAAAAGCCAGAGGGAAAGAAGAGAAATGAAACTCTCTTTTCATTTGACTAGGGTTTAATCCTTTACATGGGTTGAGGTTCTGTGAAGCTGGGATCTCTAATCTCTTTCAACTTGTAACTTGGAAGTTTATGAATATGGTTTAATTATTTCAAGTACTATGCTTAGTGCATGTTGCTCTTTGTCTTGTAGAAAACTACAAATGTTAACTTGAGTCCAAATAATAATAATACAATAACAATTATATCTAGAGATTTGACAAAATTTTATTTTGCTGGCTCAAATCATTAATACCCTCAATTCTAAAATATGTGCATTAAGAAATACTTTTAATTTTTCAAGCTTAATTTATATTGTTTCTCTTCCATTTCTGATCGGCAGTAGTGTGTAACGATATATATATACATACTAGAAGAGAAAAATGGAAATGAAAAAAAATGAAGGATAATTTATTGGAGAACGATTATTCATCTTAGTGATAATGAGCATATATCAGCTCAGTTGTCAATAATTGATGTGCCGAGAGGAAAATTTGATGTGACCAGTGTCCAAGTGTACAAGGTAATGGACACAAAAATCTTTCGATGTTGTGGCCAGTAAACTTTATCATCTGCTAACGCTTTGTTTCGTTAGGCTAAATCACAGTTGAATTATTAATTATTACAAAACCAATCAAATACATGGAAACAAACCGTTGCACCTTTTTAATTATCATTGCCATTTTTTCGATTAATAGTTTAGAGAGAGGACATTTGAATTTCAGATTATATGAGGGATATTTCGGCAACTCTGGCAGAAAAATAAAAAAATGAATAAATAAATAGAGAAAATAAATAACCAAATATTTTTCTTTATTTATTTGGTTGAGTTAAAAAGTAAGAAAAGTGAAAAATAAATGTAAAACATTTTTATTTTCTTTTCCCTTTTTCTAATTTGTGAAAAGAATAAAAAATCACAAAATTTCGTCATAATTTTTTAAAGTGTTTCTGATATATTTCTAATTAAATTGAAATATTATCATGCAAATGATTAAACTACAACTTTAATTTTGAATCAAGAGAGACAAAGAATACTGAAAACATTTAACATATGATATAAATTTTGTCTGAAAATAAACTTGGGTCTCACACTCTTTTTTTTCTGTCTATCTTCCTATTTTCTCTCTCATGCGAAGTAAGAATGGTTCTATTTTATTATCCTTTTATTTCTCTCCAAACTCTTTATGCCTGGTTTCAGTTCACTTATACCAAACAATATGCATAAGATCGTAGCTTGAAGCATCATATTGTATTATATATTTTTCTTATGTGAACACGAATTATATTTTATTAACTATCAAGCATGAAATGAGGTCTAGAAAAGAGGAAGAATAGCCATATATGAGTGAAACATGATGTTGTCACGAAAGTCTTGCTAGCAAATAAGGCAAATGGGTGCCTAAAACTCCTTTCCTTTTGGAAAAAATTCGTATGGGAAGCATGTGATCTTCTTTTTACCTTTCGGTGTGAGAAGCTGGCTACCATTGCTAATATCATGGATCATGGCTACCGTATATGCTTATAACTTTCACAGGATGCAACAAATAGGGCTTCAATCCTCTGCTGCTGGTGCATTTGAACCATCAATTCTCATACCAATTAGCTTCACCAATCATATCGTGTCATTGTTAAATACCTTTTTCTATTTTCAAGTATCCTATCATTTAAGAAGAAATATTCAATAGTTTCAATTATAGAAAAGCATATTTAATTATTATAAAATGTTGACATCATACTTTCAAATTGATTTTAAGCAACTAAATATGATAAAATTTTATTGAAAGAAATTCTTACATCCATAGATCCAAAGTGTAATAAATAATGTCAACTTTTTTCAATAAAAAATATTAAAAAATTGAAATCGTAAATGAAAATTTTATTTCAGTTAAAAAGATATAATCATTAATTATAAATTAACTGCTAACATTTTGATTCAAAATGTATATATAATAAATGCATAATTATTTAAATTTTTAATACTTTCTATTTAATGACTAGAGTATTTACTTTTAGAGGAGTGAAGTTAAAAAAAACAAAACATCTCATACTAATGCTGATAAAGAATGAATAAATAGTGATTAATAAGAACAATAGTAAAAGCCTCTAAGGGCAATAATTTTTTTATTGGGTAATAATAACAGCAATAATTTGATGTTAAATTTGTGGATAGCCCACCTTGACTTTAAGACTATATTTAATGCAGCAGCTTTAAGACTAAATGCGGCATGTTGTGATTGGCAGTGGACAACTAGAGATGAGGTGCATCATTTAATAATTCTAATAATTTATTTTGCAAGCAAAATAATGTAATGAGAGAAATTTATTATAAGTATGAGAGTGAAAAGTAAACGTGAAAACAATTATTTCCAATGGAGTAAAACCAGTAGTAAGTAGTAACCTATCTTTATTTTCACATGAAATCACATTTTCCCAATAGAAATAACAAGACAAGACACTCCATGACAAACCAAAGTTACAGAATTGACACAATTCATTGCCTTTTAAATTTTTTTAATCTCTCCCTAAGTAATAGTAGGGATGGTTACATAATTAGGGTCTTCTTATAGCAAAAAATGTAGCATATAGGAAAGAAAATTGCAGCATCTTGTGAATCTAAATGAAGGACAGAGAAAGCATGTGATTGAACTCAAAAGTAAAAAAGTGAAACTCAAGTAGTAACGGCAAATAAATGAATGTGTAGGGGGTGTGATGGAGGAGTGTTGGATCATTTATGCTGTTGTGATGAATATGCCCCGTAGGCCACACCTTTTCTTCATTGCCTACTTTTTTGGGTAATCAAAAGTGGGGTTCTCAATTTTTCTGCCCTAATGAAATGTTGTTTTTCTTCTGTTGATGCTAAATTTCCTCTATCTCTTATATGGTACTATATTTATTCATTCTGACTTATTCCGTTGTAACCATTAATATTATAACATAGCCAATTCACTAACTGCTCCTCACATTCAAGACATTCAGCCTCTCACTTTGCCTCTTTTACCCTATATATACACTTTTATTGCTTTTACAATATTGCAATACTTTTATCTGTCAAATAAACAAATGCTTATTAATTACTAACACTTTTTTTATCTCATGAATTTAGGGTGTGAAAGTAATGCTACCTACATAATTACTAGAATTACCTTCAAAGTATGTTTGGTTTCTTAATTATTTAAAAATTTTTAAACAAGTCTCCATGTTTTAAGATTTAGTAAGTAGGTACTTAAATTTTAAATTTTTTTCATTAAGTCTCTTATTAATTTTTGTCAGAATTCCGTTAAGTACCTATATTTAGTTGTTTTCTTTTGAATAATTCAGGAATTTACTAAAGAATTAAATTAATTGCCTAATCTCTAAACTATCTAATTTTTTAATTAGGTCCATGTATTTAATATAATTCTCAAATAATTTAAGGACCTATAAGTTAATTCAAGGTAAATATACATATTATTCCTTGAAAGTGACATTCGATTTATTTTTAGCCCCTAAATGTACAATTTGATCCTTAAAAGTGACACTTTGTTGAGCCTTAAAAGTTATCAAACGAAAGTTTTGTTTAGTACAGTTTAATCTTCAAAATATGAATTTGCTCACTTTTTTATCATTCTTTCACAAAAATATAAGTAACACTTTTGAGGACCAAATAATTCCTTAAAAAGATTAAAATACAAAAAATTCAGAGACTCAAAAGACCAAATTATAAAAAGCAAAAGTTTTAACAATTAAAAGTAATAAAACATCACTTTCAAAAACCAATTTATGCATTTGCTCTTGATTTAACCTTCAAATAATAAGGTATGACCAATAATCTTATATAAAAAAGTCTCAATATATATGAAAACTAGAGTGACACTGTACGGTTTAACTGTCTATCATTTCAGGAGGAGATCCCAGTCACAGATCTTCCTCTTTGTACCATTTATACACTGTCACAAAACATATTCCTACGATTACCCTAACCATTTCTGTTTCCTCGTTGGATTCTCTTCAAGACATAAATTATAAATATACAATTTTCTTCCCTCTTTTTGAGGTTGTGGAAAATCCTTTAGGATATGCTGGGGAAGACACCCATTTTAATTAATGAAGATGAAGACAGCATTTAGTTTCACATGACAATTAAGAATTAAAAAAAACCAAAAAAAACAAAAGATTTGTAAAATATGTCTAGTGTCCGTGCAATTATGCAACTTCTTCCACCATTTTTGTAAGTATGTATCAATAATACTAGTTGTGAGCTTTAATATAAGGTCATGATGTCGTATAACCCTATCCGTATGGGATTTCCCAATTCCAATCTCAAGTTAAAAATGAACTTTTTTTAATTAAAATAATGATTTTTTTGGTCAATTAAAATAGTGATATAAGTAACAACAAAAGTCATCTTTGTGCTAGGTAGGGTCCATAGCAAAATTAAGTGTATAATAATAAAATAATTTAAATTAAATAAAAGGACTTTAAAAAAATTTAAAAATTAGGGAACACACTTAAGAATCGTTAAGATGGAGAAAAGAGAAGAGAAAGGAAAAATATTTAAATTTAAGAAGTTGTCTCATTTGATTGAAGAATAAACAAGGAAGGAAGGAAAGCTTTACAAAAAAATGTTTTGATAAATTTTTGAGTTGTTTTGCCCATAATTTAACAAACTTTTTCCTTGTTTTCTTAATTTTTCTTTATTTTTCCTCTGCAAATAAACAATGGGTTAGGGTGGGCTTAAAAAGGTTTTTTTTTTTTTTATAAATCATACAAATATTTTAAGGTTATTGAAGTTAAAGTTTAAAATGAAAATAGGAAATTATGAAAAATAAAGGTTTATATAAATCTTTAGTTCTTAAAAAATTTACAATTTTTATATTTGGTCTCTATATTTATTTTTTTCAAACAAATTATTAATTTTGAACATGGTATTATTATTTGGATTTTAGTGGATGAAATAATATTTTTAAACATTTATAATATCATCTTTGAAACCTAATCTTGACTTCATCTTTTGAAGTCCTAAAGATATTCAAAATTAATATATTAAGAATCGAAGAAAAAAGAGAGAGTTGACTTTTAGTTCATTTATGTTAAAATAGATTATATTGCACATATCAAATTTTGAGGGGAAAGGGGATATAGTTTTAAATTAATGAAAAAGTATAATATAATTTAAACATCTCTCAAAAGATAAGAGCACGGTTTATTTAAATAAAAACTTTATTAAAACTCGTAGAGGATGGGTTAAGTGAAAAAGTACTTGTAACTTTAACAAAAGAGTCCCTTTCCTCAATGTTAAAGGTTCAACCTCACACGAAAACATCATATGTGAATGTTTTATGTTCAAAAGGTATAATAATAAATAAATAAATAATCTAAGTTTTTCTTTATTAACTGCATGTAAATGATTTCCCTTCTCCGGAGTCACTCCTGTTTTTCGCTCTTTGTTGTGTTTAGTAGGAAGAAGTAAAATAATATATATATATATATAAAATTTTCACAGTCACACTTCGCTGGTGAACGAGACTATTCATTGATGCTTCCTAATCTTTCATTCATCTCCTCCCTAAAAAAATGAATAAAAAAGAAAGAGTTGTTAAATACAAATTTAAAATTTTTCTTTTCTCGTGTATATATTATACAATTAAGAATCAAATTCTTATTCGCATCAAATAAAATCCCCTATTAGCAGCATGCTTAAGTAATATAATTATTTATCAGTTGTATTAGACTTTATTTTGTAATTTGAAAATTTCCTTGCTCTTTTGATGCTGGATCAAACATAACTGCCTGTAAATTGCTTCCATTGTCTAACAAAGTATCCTCTAAAATGTAAATTAAAATTATGGGTTTTTTAATTAAAAAAGTATTTATTAAAAAAAATTACAGCAGTACAATTGATTTATGATACACATACTTTAATGACAATTCAATAAGTTAGGTTACTCATTTTCCGATGTATAGACATTTGCACACATATTTAACAGAAAAATCCAGGAATAAACAAAATTAAAACACAAATGGATCTTTGAATTAGCCTAATAATTAAGCAAAGGTTGATGCTAATCGTGTAAAATTTGACACCGTTAAATCCATTTGCAACAATAATGCTATTATAAATTGTACCTAACATTGCATGGCTGTCATGAGAGATAAGAGCCTCCATTTGTTATGATCCTCATGAATAGGGCTTCCCTTTTGTGCGAAACATAAAACAAGTCCACACATGGGGACCACAACAAGATCCTATGTGAAGCTTCATCGCCCCATACTGCACATGTTTGAAGGTGCTTGGCATTTTTTCAATAAGGCCATATGAAAAACATAATACTGATTTTCTCTTTAGTTGAGTCTAGATTGAAACAAGTCAGCTACACAGGAATCTTAGCCAATTGCATGGAAAGACTAAAAGGGACAACCTACTAAATCATTGTTATTGCCCAATTACTATGTGATCCCACTGCCTTCAATGCAATTTAAGTTTTGTCCTGTTCCTAATATAAACCATTAGTCTCTCTCTCTCTTCCCCCACCCTTCTCTTTCTTTTCTCTCTCTTTCTATTGTAAATCAACATCTATGCTATTATGTGGAAAATGAAGTGGTTTGCTTACTTCAACAAGTCCACAGCATTTAATTGGCCTTCAAATTAGGCTAAGCATATGGACCAGTGACGAAAGAAAAGGAGTGCCAATTTCTTCAAATTGTGATAGGTGATAGGGATCATAATATGAAATGGAACCAACCTAGGAGAAACAAACGTAAGTTTCAGCGATAATAAAGATTTTGTAAGTTAACCTTGTACTGTACTTGCAGTATGACCAAAAGGAAGAAATAAAAAAAAGGCCACTCGAATGGAAGGAATATTTAAATTTGAATTAAATTTTCGTTCATTTGAAATAAAAAGTAATGACTGTACATAGGTGGTTCCTCCATTTCGAGACCTAGAAAAATTGTAATAATATTTTTGCTTGATTTAGGGGGTGAAGTGCTAATATTCTGAAGTCTGAGGAAAAAATGCTACTTGTCTTGTTCAGAGGAAACTATTTCGTTGATGTTTTGAAAATATAGCTGTGTATGACTATGATAAAAAATAATCGAAAACTTAATATCGGATAAGATGAAAAAAAAAAAAAAAAACCAGTAAAGATACAAATATAACCCTAAATTGATACAATGGACAATTCAAACACAAGCTGTAGCGTTCCGACCCGAGTTAAGTCAACCAAGAATGGGCCAACCATGAAATCTATAACTTTTCTTGCTGAAAATTAGTATAACTTACAAGCCTTTCTGAAACTGATTCTGTAACAATTTATTGAATTAAAATTTATAACATTAACCACTATAGCAAATTAGGAGATATAAGTAACTACCGCAAGAGTTTCCTCCTTACACTCAATACTTTGAAACATAGTTCTATGTTATTTTAAGAAGGAATATTTAATCTGTACAAACACTAATTCTGCTGAATAAATAATGGTATTGGCAGTCTAATGCTTTCCATATATGTATTGTATATATATGATACATTGTCGGATAACAGTATATAGAAAACATGTCAATAATCTGATAAAACATAGGAATATTGTTCATCATTGATAGGTGGGGAAGGAAAGGTGAAGAATAATATGAAAAGAATAGAATGGAAGGCCACACTAGATCACCCATAACAAAAGTAAAAAAAAAAAAGCAAAAAGAAAAAAACATTGTACATCAAGTTAGTCCCCTTTTTGCTTCATGTCCACCTCAGCTTCAAGAACTGTGCCTTGTACAAATAAATAGTGCTTCTGATGCATAAATTCAAAAGATTAGAAAAATATCCGGAAGCCCAATTTGTCTTCTGATACTGATTCTATCCAAGAACTGTGTGTGTACCTATACAAGCATAAGGACTTTCTTGAATGGCGGTTCCATGAGAGCAGCTGCAATCTCCGAAAGTCAATTGTCCTCATGAAGGAGGTTTACATTTTCAAAACCTCTTCATAGATAGAATGGAAGAGGGCAGTAGAAATATACCTCTCACCAAAACTGGGAAAAATAACCTTCAAAGATGAAAAATAAAAGGCATAGGAAAAATCAATAAGCATTATTAAAATGCGTAATTTATCATGGAAAGTAGTAAAATACAACATCTAAATTAATGCAATATGTATACACTTCAGCCCTCCAAATTTCCACTCTTGCTAATTATTGGGCAACATCATTGTTAAGTTTTCCTAGGCCTTTATTTGTCATGTTGCCACTTCTGTGAAGGGAAGCACAGAAACCCAACGTCATCTAAACCCAAAAGAATATAATTTGCTTCTAGCCACTTGTAGTTCTATAAACTGAATGAAGAGAAATCTTAATTATAAGAGGTTAATTTTGCAAAGAGTTATAATAATCTAATTAAAATGGAGTACCCAAAATAAGCGTGCAACATAAATTGGGTGCAAAGATGATGTAGAAAAAAAATGAACTATTGAGTTCAACATTCAACCATTGCTAATCATAAGACTTGAGTAAAAAGAAATATATCTCTAGGAGCAACACCTATTAGTTGTGAGAAAAACTCAGCTTAATTTTATTATATCAACATCAATGTTAGAAATATTTGTAGAATAATTAAACTCACCACAATAAGTTTCCCGGAATTCTCTGGCCGTCTGGCTAAATTTATGGCAGCAGCTGCTGCAGCTCCTGAAGAAATCCCAACCTTGACAGAAATTGAACTAATTATGATAGAACCTATTCTAAAAACCATAATCAAACTACTCTGTTGTTTAAGGTGATATTGTAACATTCAGCAACACACAAAGCTAAAGATGAATAATGTCAAGCCAATAAATAAATTGAAAATTTCATCTAGAATATACACACTAAAAATACGATTGAAAACTAAATGCAGATTACACACTTCAGTGCATATGTAAAACAGTAAAATTCATAATGCCAAAATATTGCAAAATTTCGGCAGATAATTGACATTAAAATATGAAGCATAAAACATATTATATATTCAAATATATAACTTACCAGCAAGCCTTCTTTCAGAGCTAATCTCCTTGCCATTTCAACAGCTTCAACATTGGTAATCTGTGCTTTCGCATATCAAGTTAATTAATAATGGAAAATATACATATAGTCATACACAAATATGAAGTTAATGACACTGCATTATTAGACACAGAAAACCACCAAAGTAATAACTGCAAAGTGTTTAGTGGACGAAACTCCACAGAAAACAGTCAAATCATATGTAGATGATTCCAAAATTGTACCCTTTCACCCAAATTAATGTTAAGTATAAACCTTGTTGTTTAGTACAGAAATACCAAAACCAAAAACCTCAAGCAGGTTATTCTGACCAGAAATAAAGTGGTAAGTATACAACAGAGGAGGAATAACTTTTTTTTTTTTTTGTTTACCTTGATAACCTCGTCAAGCAGTTTGATATCCAAAATGCTTGGCATGAAACCTACAACATACTCTAATACAGTCAACAGCTGAGAAGAAAAATATGATTCAAGTGGATATGGTCCTTGAAACTAACGACATAAAGAGGGGGAAAAAGATCATTCATCAACTTCATAAAAGATTCATACCAGGATTGTCTCCTGAAATTACACTTCTATCTGCAGGTTCCACCCCAACCACCTAAGCAAGACATAATATGCCACACATAAATGCTAGGTTAAAGAAATTAGAACAGCTAAAGCATCACTTGCACTTTAAATATAAGAAGCACGCAAAGTATACAGCAATAATTGTCTATCAGATGCCTAATACCGACACTTATGATGCACAATTTATGTCTTACTGGCAAATGTTGCTTACTGTTTATGGTTTAGTCAAACATGCTAGAATAGACAAACTAATGTTCTGTGCCTTCTGGATTCTTTTGCCTTAATTATTCTATCTCCTCCCCTCTCCCTCTCTCCATCACAGGAACACAGAAAAATAGAGTCAAGTCCCTAAGGGTTTATAATATGAGAAATATAATGCACAAGCCACAAGCTGTCATCATACTGATTCAACAATTACATGTAATTGCTTTTAATACCAATGAAGTGCATATCATGGAAATTTGAAGTCAGGAGCTGATATACTTAATAATGGAAGTAAGTGCCACAGGACCACTACATACCTTATTCAATTTGAAATAACAACTAAATGCATATCAAATGAATAATCAAACCTGTATTTTTTTGTTCATCATTTTCAGATAACGGCCAGTGCCAGTAATAGTGCCACCAGTTCCAATCCCAGCAACCAATACATCAACATTACCCATGGTATCCTCCCATATCTCCGGCCCTGTAGTTTCGTAGTGAATCTGTAATTTGTGCATTTAAATCTTAATAACATGTAACTTAATTTATGTTGTAATTTCTATTTTCACTGATGCACTAAATAATTCGAAACAGTGATTGATAAAGTCAAGGTCTTATAGGAGATCCATTAAGACCTAACCTTTGTATTAGTCATGTTATCAAACTGTCGAAACATGTAAGCATTGGGTGTGCTGCGAACAATTTCTTCAGCTTTGTCAACAGCCCCTTTTAGCCCCTTCTCAGCATCAGTCAAAACAACCTTGGCACCAAATGCACGTAAAAGGACTCTCCTCTCAATATTAACGGAAGCAGGCATTGTGACTATAAGTTTGTACCCCTTTGTTGCTGCAACAAAAGCAATGCCAAGTCCAGTATTTCCAGTTGTTGGTTCAACCAAAGTAGTCTGCAAAATTACAAGCATTGGGAATTTAAGGAAATCCAAGATTCAATACCTTGGCTTTGAACAAACATTACATCATAGCACTATAAGTTTAAAGATAGCTGCAACAGAAAAGACTGCATTGATCTATACACAAAAAATATTCACAATGTACCTTCCCCGGAGAAATTGCCCCAATCTCTTCAGCATCAGATAACATACTATAGCCAATTCTGACATTTTAAACAATAACAGATGTTAACACGTGATCTATCTCCGAGCTGAGCATCAAACTCAAAAAGCACATTTCGAAGTGCAAATCATGGAATGTGGAAAAATTTCTGACAAAAAAAGTTGTACTAATGACCAGGCTTATCTAACATATCACAAAACCAACTCTAACATAAATAAAGAATATAAAGAAGATAACAAGATAATGTCATTTGGTACAAATACCTTTTCATGAAAAGTGTACTTTTAAACAAATCAAGAAAGTGATAGCATGAGTGAAGAGAAAAAATGCTTTTCAAGAAAGATAAAATTTTACTCTAGAGTGTTCACACTTCACAAAAACTGTTATGTACCCTTCAGCATTTTCATAATAGTAATAATAATAATAATCCCCACTTCTGACAATGTCTCATATTCATTCATACATTTTTACTTCACACCATCTTCATATTCATTCTTACACACTCATTATTATTGACCGAAATTTACTACAGGTATGTTTCCGAGAGGGTCTTTGGAGGGGAAAAGAGGGGAGGGCATATTTTTAAATGATTAATACATTAAATTTATGTTAATATATCAATTTATATCTTTCATTTTGAAAAAAAAAATTAAAATATATTTATTTAAAATAAAATTTTTTACCTCCCCTCTCCTGCAACTCACAAAACTATACAAATCTCACTTGGTATTACCGAGTTTCACTCATAATTTCGAGAATGGTAATAAAATTGAGCCAAAAGTAAAAAGCATGTCAACAGCATGTTGATGTTGTGAGTAATACCTGTCCTTGACACTTCGGCAAGGCTGCATAGACTCGAGTTTTGCAGCAATATTTGCCACACACCCTACTGTAACTTTGTTGAGGTATATCATTGGCGTATTTCCAATCAGCTACAACATTTCAACGTTTAAATTAAAAAAAAAAACACTATAATTATGATTCTTATTAAAAGTAGAAAAAACAAAAAGTAATTAATGGGAGAAATGGAAGAACCTGGGTGACATCTTCGGCAATGTTGACGGCGTCAAAGGCTTGTCTGGTAGAGTAGAGTAACGGTGTAGAAGCTCTAAGGGTGGGAAGGGTATAGGGTTTGAGGCTAACAAGAGGGTGGGGTTGGAGCTGAGTAGTAAAAGGAAAACACGCAGTTGAACATGATATTGATGATAGCACCATCGTCATCCTTCAACTCTCACATCTTTTAAGATTTAAGATGGGTTTTATAATTTACCAGTTCCAGGTTGGGCTCTAATCTTGGGCTTGTTTATTGATAAAGAATCATAGGCCTACAAAATAACCAGATTTTTAATAATTTTCTATTTTTTATTATATTTGTTTTCTGATTCATATGATCATTTATGCAATCAGAAAATGTATATAATGTTAAATTATTATATAAATTTTAAAAAATAAAGATATTGAGTTAAATTTTATTGAACTTCAAGAAGTAGTATAATTTGCCCAATACTATAACAACTTACTAATTTTTATGTTAAATTTACATTACACCGCCTCTAAAATCTGAAATTTTTAATTACTTTGAATAATATTCACATATTTTTTTACTTTCCTTTTTCTTCATCTCACTTATTGACTGGCACATTTTAGTTTCATGAGTATTGACTGAAAATTTACATTTTTTTGACCCTCAAGATTCTTTTGTTACATTATGCAGTCAGTTTTAGAGGATTCTTTTTTCTTTACATGAACTGGTTTTCTAACTTAAAACGAAAGAAGCCTTAAGAATGTTTTCATTATAGATTCTTATACATTTTCTTTTTTGGGTTCATTATACTCTGGGCTGATCAATTATTCCATGAAATGCTGTGAGAACAAAAGGCTAAATGGTCTTCTTCACATCCAATTAATACACACAGAATTCTTGTGGAAAACACAATTAATTACAATAGTTAGTGAAACATCTGAAATATTGTTGAAGCTGAAAGCAACATGGAATCTCCAAATAAATGGGAACTAACAAATTCATGATGACATGTGGCCAATTAGTGTGGTGTCATATCACTTCTTGAAAGGGTTGATCAAATCAAGAACAAAGTTCTCAATTTTCATTGCATACGTACCCTCAAGTCCAACCACAAGTATATAACCAATTTGCCTAAACCCTCTTTCCTATCATAGTCAGCATTTTTACATAATATATCTATGAAATATTCTTACATGTCTAGGGTCATATGCCATAACCAATGGTTATGAGGTGCACAACTCTAAACAAAAATTATTTATTTCTCACAAAAATTTAGTACCATAGAGAGACCTGAAAAACCTTCTAGACCTGTTTGTTTTCAATTTCATGAAAGGAACCTTACGTGCAACAGCTTGCCAAATCATTTGGACAGCATCACCTTCCCTAGATGGGAACTGAAACTCAAAGAAACTTTGAACCTCTTTCAACATGTTCCACATTCTAGTCCACTCATCCTTGTCAATACTCCTAATGAAGTTTATCAGAAACTTCTTTTTGAGAGCATCCTTTGTACGAACAAATATGCAAAATTGAGAGTAGTCAAGCACATCCTCATATGGCAACTCAATTTCATCACTGATGATAACAGGAACACAGTGGCTAGTAATTGCATCAAACAAGCGGTTTGATGAAGGGGTGTCACCAGCTATGTTGAGGCAGAACTTGGAAGATCGCATGCCTTCAGTGGCCTTTTTTACTCCACCTTTTTTAACACTCCCAAATGAAAAATGCACATCTTTTTCATGTTTTAAAAGATTAAATAGTTCTTGCCGTACATGACCTCCCTGAGTATATAGGTCTGAAAATTATTAGGCATATGATGACATAACTGCATATATGTAGGTCTGAAAATTTCAAAAGAGTACCTACACAATCTTCAGCATTAGCTGAAAAATGCTGAGGATAATAAAATGGCAATTGACTTCACGTGACAAGTGTAAAGAGATATAAGAAATTAATGAAAGACAAGTATAGGAATTCAAAGAAGATGCTTCTAGTTAAGCAAACTACACCTTTTTATTGTGAATAAAAAATAAAGATTTATGAATTATTACAGTCAACCACATAATCCTGAGGCACCCACGATTAAGCCATTACCAAAACATGAGACTGTTCCATCACTTTCCTCCTACAGCTATGAGATATTAAATTTTATGGAAACACAAATAAGACTAGGACCCACTTTAGCCCTTGTGTATGTGACGCAATCTAAGCAAGCATTTGAGAACATAAATTCCTAACGACTATCTCAAGATCACCATGTGTTTATGATCCTAAACTATCATCATGCAACATGACATGAAGTTTTAGTTAGTTTTTATTAATTAGTAAACATAATCTCATATGTCACATGATAGTTAGCCGAGACCATAGGCCCAAATCATCTATAATATTTTTCCTCCTCTCCATTGTTTAACTTCCAAAATCATTTCATGCCACCACATGCACATGTTCCAACACAAAATATATGATTCAAATTATTTTAGACACTTACTTTAATTACATTATTCAACAATTTAAAATTAATTTTATCAAAATAAACTTAACTTTAAAACACAGAAGTACCGTAAAGGAAAAATTAAGAACTGTTATCTAACTCATAGCTTCAGGAAGTAATTGAAGACTTCTCTCAAAAGCGAAAAAGAAAGAAGCAACAAAACCAAGATATTAAAGAGAAAGAGGAACATACATCTTTTCTATGTATTGCTCCTTGAAAGTAGAGCAATAATGGACGGCTATCAAAGGTGGATTGATCATTGACATAGGGTGCAACTACATGTTTATAAGGTGCAATCACATCTTTCTCAACATTGGCTATGTTGGGAGGGTACCTCCCAAAATCTGAGAGTATGAAGGTAGCAGGCCACAACTTCATTCTCGCATCCGACATACTATTTGGATGATGAGCCAAGATCACATGGTCCCTTCCCCCTGATCTCTTCCATTCCCCTTGAGCTGTCAAATACTTCACCAACTTATCTTGCAACACCTTGTTCTTGCTCTTCTTTTCATGTGGACTAGTTCTTGAGCACCGGTTATAACTCAAAGAAGAAAAGAATGGCACAAAAATAACATCAGATTCACTTGAGTTTCTAACTCTAATTACACTCCTAGCACTGGAGCCTTCAGGTAGTTCTGACGCAAGAAGATCCAAAGTAAGCCAATACTCTATACTATGCTGCAAATTCAACCCTCCAGGGTAACTGGGTATTTTAGTTCTTATATCTGGCCAAACACTGTTTCCTTCAGGTTTCCAATCCAAAAGTCCAAAATGGAACTCAGAAGGCAAATCATGCATGAAAACTTTCAGAAGAGTTTTGTCACGTGCCATGCAATTCACACCTTTTTCTTCTTTAGGTTCTTGTAGTTGTTTCTCATCTTCTTTTTCGTTGTCCACGAGTATTGCTCTATTGCTAAATGAGGGTTCCACGGTTTTGTCACGCACCTGATCAGAATCTGAGTCACTAAAGGAAGAGAAAAGGGTTGGATTTTGATGAGTGGAACTGGTGGAACGCAGAATGAACAACCATGACAACACGAACAACAACGTTGTCATTGCGAAGAAACAGCACAAGGACTTTCTAGAAACAACCTTGATGGTAGAGGTTGACACGGTTCTATCTCCCATTGTAACAACAGCATTCCAAGGGATCAATTCTTGAAACCATGCACCTTGAACTTAGTTGTTTGAAACAAGCACATCACAAACAAAATGGTTGCATTGTTGTTTGTGTTGTGTGTGTGAGTGCTGTGATATGAGTTGGAAGCGTTGGAATAGGGTCTAACTGTTGAAGCGTTCTACTCAGCTTAGAGTTCTCCACGTTTTCGGCTTTAACTAATACAAACGAATCAATCTAAACTCTCTGCATCGTTGATTTTAGTATTCAACCACTTCTATCATGATATCAGGATAACATTATTTCGTGAAGGTAACAAATTATTCTTTATCTTATTGGTTTCTTTTAACCAATTCCCAATTCTAAACGAATTTCAACCTTTTTATCTGATTTATTTATTAGAGTAGATCAAATTTTAAAAACCTATTTAACGAAAGCAAATTTATATGCACATATATTGTTTTAATTTTATAAAATTAATGTATTAATCATAATTATATGTGTATACTTAAAAAAAATATAATAGTTATTAATCTGTGCTCTTTTTTTAAAAAATTACATTTTATTAGTATAATGTATTCATAAGTCTTGTTAGTTCTGAATCAATTTGGCATTGTTCTTGTGCCTATGTTTTTCATTACTATATATATTTTGTTTTATATTTAACAAGATTCAGCAAAAAAATTATGTAATTGAATAAAATAAGACTTATTTACAATCTTTTAATGAAACAAAACAAAAATAAAATAAAATTATTCAATTTAAATTACTCTGAATCAGATTGGACTGGATCTACTTTCAATTTAGAATTAAACCGACCTACAGTGAACACTGCTAGCGCTAGCAATGACAAAGACTAAGGTACTAAAACTACCATGTTCGTTTTCATGTTTTTGGTAAATTGTACTAAAATGTTCGTATCCCTACCTTTAATTCTGGATCAGCACAAGGCCTGGCGGCTAGTCATAGAAAAAGCATACCCTAACTAGTTTTATGACTATTTTGTTCTAAAAAAATTGACCCAACCAAAATACCACAATACGATGTCAAAAATTAACCCAATCAAAATACCATAATAGGATCACGTTCACTCCAATCTAACTTGGCAAAGAACACTTCTAAATGAAAGTTCTTTTGTAATTTCTGAAATGACTTTCATTGGTAAAAATGCCTCAAAACAAAAGTGGACTATATAAAAATTAGAAAGACCACCACTAAGGTGCCCAGCATTGACTGGCATTCGTTTCAGACTTGAATAAACTCTTACCTGAAAATTAATCGTTGATTTTAACTGAATACTTTTGTGTCTGTTTAAAATCTATGTTTGAAAAATAAGGCTCAATTGACGACAATTTTAGTCAACAAAGTTTAAAAAGTCTAATTCATATTTTGCAATTCTAGCACATGGTCAATGTATCATTATCATACAAGCAGCAATTATTTCAGAGTTCAACTCTGAAGAATGATATGAAACTAAATGCACAGTTGATCCAATGCTTCTTCACAGATTAATCGCCAGGAAAAACAAGAAAAATCCGCGATGTGTTTTTCACCAAGGCCATGAAACGCAATGTTAAGCACTCCATCGAAGAGAATCAGAACTGGAACTGCATGTCAGGAGCATATCCAAGGGCATTAAGGTGATCCTGCATGGCCTTGTTCATAGGTGGTGGTCCACATCTCAATATCTGAAAATCCTCAAGTATCATTTCTAATCATTTATCTTCCTTCCACACGATGATTAGCAAAACTAAAACATTGATAACCTCATTTTGGAGGAATAGGTGAAATGATGAAACAATTACCTTCACATCATGTGCTGGAGCAGGGCAATGGGTTTGAATCATCTCCTTTGACACAAATCCAACACCACCATCCCATACTTCAGGAGGCTACAGTGATTACATAATTCAAAGGTGCAACATCAAAACAAATGATCATTAGTCATAGCTGTTAAGAATTATCATATGTTTAGGGTTAACGAAGAAGAAAACAAATTATTTAAATTGCTTCCCCAATTCAATAACCAATTGATTCCAAAATATATTCTCAAGACATCCAAATATTCCGTGACAGTGACAAAAAATCATTCAGTAAGCAGAGTTGAAATATTTTCAGAAAGCATAATTCATTCAGTAAGCAGAGAGTTGAAATATTTTCAGAAAGCATAATCATGTCAGCCATGGCACACTGTATAAGATTAAATGCAGATAGCCTCAAGAGGGCAGATGCAGAGGACACACCTGCAATGCAATATATCACAGGCCTAGTTCTGTTGCAATCTTATTCGTTGTGAAAGCTTAAAAGTAAGATACTATAAACTTACACTCACATTATCCAGACAAAATACAAGTAAATGGGGAGCATTCGGCAGTTGACAAACTTGTAAAGACAATTGTCCACTGTTTGGCAGTTAATTGGATAAGGAAACTCCAAAAGACTGGCCAACTTCCACTAATTTCTTCCAAAAAAGTTCAATGATGTTGTCCATGTTAAGGACTATAAATGAATTATCAACCAAACATTGAATAGACACTAGCATTTTTTAACCTTGTTTGCACTTTGTTATTTGATGCTATCAGGATCAAGTCTTTGCATGACCACTCAATAAACAAAGCAAAAGCAATAGCAACTAACCTGATTTAGCACATAGTATATTTTGAATCGAGCTGGATAGTTGGTGGCAAGGCCATCAAGTTCTTCCTGCACATGCAAATAAGTGAATTTTGAGTAATGAGTCTAATGACATGCTTCAAAATGCAGGCATAGGCCAATAAGAGGAATGGAACACAAACTTATTCTATAATAACATTGCCACAAGGAAACGAACAAAGGATAACAGTTGAGAAAAGTATATATTGCCGCTACAGGAAAACAGGTCTTCAATTCTTTTACACTATAAAATTCCTGAATAGATTTCTATAATGGTGGGCAATTTTAAGGCACACACAGCCCCCTTCATGAGTTTAATGTTTATTCCATACTACAGACAAAATTTGTATGAAGAAGAAGGGCATGATTACTTTGAGAAAACATTTTCTAATTTCATTTCTTATTTTCGTTTTAAATTACAAAAACATGACCTTGTTTTTATTTTGTTTTCTGTTTTCAAAGATTTATATAAAAACAGTGACAATAAAATAAAATGTGGTTTTTATTTCCCATATAAATCTTTGAAAACAAAAACAAAACCAATGTGGCATTGTTGTAATTAAAACTAAAAACTGAAAGTGAAAATAGAAAACATTTTGTCAAACCACACAAGCTCTAATATTTTTCTTGAAGGAAGATATAAGTTGCTAAAACAGTTTGTAAAGTCTCCCACTGAGACAAGTATGTAGGAGGGAGACATGATCTAACTGCTCTCAAATGGATACATGCATTCAACACCCCCACCCCCCCCACAAAAAAAAAAACACCCCCCGAATTATTTACATATCCTATCTATGACTCCTAAGAACAACTTCAAACTTCAGCAAATTGACCTGGGTGGGCATTTTGGGACAGCTATCATATACTGTCAATCTGCAGAATTAATCCTAGTGTCACAAAAAGATCATCAACTGTACAGTTCAATACTTCAAGGCAATACAAACAGATAATCAACTGAGTAAAATGTTGGGTTTGCCATTTAACAAACAAAAATGCATCTTAATGCATCGGCATTCACTCACTAAGTTTGTCAAACAGTAACCACAAGAACATAGAACTTATAGCTGGCATGAAGCAATGGATTAACCTGAATCAAGAGTCAAGTGCATAAATTATTAAATTAAGTGAAGAATATCTTCTATTAAGTTAAACGATAAATTTTAATTACCTTCAAAAGAATGTCCTCATATGTAACATTGGCATAGATAAGATGCACCTTGGTCCTGTCATTTGGGTTTTCCAATATAGCTCTAGCAACCTTCAGCAACAAGCAAGCAAATTAGGCAACAGAAATTCATGAAAGAAATTTCCTCTTAATGAACAGCATGTCCTTAATGATATACTTGGAACATTGGGGTAATTCCAGACCCTCCAGCAAGCATCCCAAATGCTCTAACATCACCAGGTTGGTACCTGAAACGTCCCTGGAAGCAATAATGTTTTAGCCCATTTATCTAAATAACAAGTCGTTCATTTGGCATAAGACATTATGAATTCAGAAATGCATATAACTACATTACACAATGAAAGAAAGAGGGAAATGAAAACAAATTCCTTTCACAAGGAAAGAAGGATAAAAAAAAAGGGGGAAAATATTAACATCAACCTCTAGAATTGATTTTTAGCATTAAAATGTAGAAGTTTTGTTGAGTAATGTTATTAATGATGGATAGCCAAAAAACTGCCATAAAATTATGGTGGATGCTATTGCAGTTTATGGGGTAGCATGGCGATTATTAGAAATATATATATATATATATATATATATATATAGAGAGAGAGAGAGAGAGAGAGAGAGAGAGAGAATAAAATCAAGAAAGAAAAAAAAGAGAGAAGGAATGTCAAGGAAAGCTGAAATAAGAGGTTTAAACAATAAATATAAATACATAAGTCTAACTCAATGCCTAGACAAAATAAATAAATAAAAAACAAAATAGCTGGAAACTAAAACCAATAAAACACAGTAAAACATGAGAAAAAAAGAAAAGGACAATAGCTTGCCAAAAAATAGCAACACAAAGAAAAACAGAGCATTTAGCAGAAAATACAGGACAAGGGTCAAAGAACAGTAGTTTCCTTAAAACACCAGAAAACACCAGTAGCTCACCCCAAAGCCACCAGAAAGAAGTTTTAATGAGTTGCAAAAGACTAAAAACGTTAGAGAAAAAAAGGTGCAAAAATGCAAGAAGGCCCAATTAGTTTTTTTAAACCCATTTGAAACCTTTTTAATTTTGACCCAAAGTACCCCCCATAAATGGTTCTGCAACATTAACGACATTTTTGGGTCAACGAAAAAGCAATTTCCACTGCTACAATCGCTGCAACTGCCACGACAATGAAATGCAACAGGAACCTAGGTTTTAGGGTTTTTCTTTTTGTGGGTCACTCTGGACCAGGTTGGGTCAGAGGGCCAGTTCACTTTTTTCCTCAAAATCCAACATTTTCCGCCATGGCCCACGATCCAAAATCCACCATTTTTCTAGTAAAGCAAGCTATCAACTTCGATAGCATCCCTATTGAAGTTTGGAAATATATAGGAAAACAATAATCTTGCTGGCACACTAAGCTATTTAATAAGATTTAGAGAACTTAGAATATGTCAAATCAGTGAAGGAAGAGCACTGTAGTATTTATATACAAAAACAAGGGCGATATTTAGAATTGTGTGCTGCAACAAAATAAAACTTATGTATGATTCATACTAAAAATTTAATGAAAAAATATCAATATAAAGAAAAAAACTTACATATGATTTTTATTTGTTTGAAAAAAAAAAAAATATGAATCATGTCACTAGCAAATATTCATTGCAAGTTTACATTACTGCTGTAGTGATATCCTAAATTTAGTCCAAAGGTCACTACTTAACTAGGCGGACAACTTTTTTTAGTAACAATAAGGTGACAATTGCCTTGACTTTACACATAAACATAACTACATAGAATCAAAGATATATAGAGTAGAGAGAAATGGCTTCTAAAATGGAAAGTCCCAAAACACTGTTTAATTAACTAGAATAAAAATGTTTTGAAAAACTAACAAAATAAGGGCTTGTTTGGTTTGACAAGATGTTTTCATTTCCTATTTTCACAAATAATTACAAAATTGTTACCTTGTTTTCAATTTGTTTTCCATTTGTAAATATTTATTAAGACAATGGTGAAATCAAATATTAAAAAGCATGAAAGAAATTGGAAACAAGGTAGCATTTTTGAATTATTAGTTAAAATGGGAAATTAAAAAAAAATGTCCTAAGTTACTGAAACAGATCTGCTCCTTGGGCTAACAAATTTAACATGATCTTGACTTGTTGGTGCAAATCTCCTCTGCCATTTTATCAAAATTTAAAATCAATTCAAATATACTGGAAAAAATAGTAGAAATGTCTAAGACAAGCATCTGGGGCTCTGGGTACAACAATTATATGTGAACAAGAACGAAGCATCAATGTTACAAATTACAATGAAAAATTAAGAAAATGGAAATACTGAAAGAAAATTGTATTCAAGTGTGTGGAAGAAACCTATACCTTGGGTCCTTTCACAGCAAGATAGTCACCGACACGCATCTCTCGGAAATGGTGTGACATCCTTCCTTGTGGGTACATCTAATAAATGCATATTTTAGAAAGACATCCAAATAATCAAGAGACAAAACAAAAAAATAGTGCACACAATATAGAACAAGCATAATGATAAAGTAAAATGAATTTTGAGCATACCTTAATAACTAGCTCAAAATGTCCAACATCAGAATCCAAAGTAGTAGGGGTATACGGTTTTATAACCTCTTCACCTTGAGCATCCTTACCCCTGTTTGAAAAGTTTCCAGCTCACAATATGACGACAAAACATTGACAAATAACGAAAAAAATGGAATGGCTTCTATTATACTTATTAATCATCACAATGATTGAGAGAACAAAGTGAGCAGACAGCAAATCAAACACAAATATACACTGAAGTACTGAACTGATTACAATGACAAGGAAAATAGGCACAAGAAAAACAATCAGTCAACAGAACCTGCAACTTATGTGTTGTCCAATTGGAAGGCCCAAAACAGAAGTAGGTGTTGGGAGCTCAAATTTGAACTTTGCCACATTGTGGCTAAGCTGTGTCCGCTTAACAAGTTTGAACTGCTTGAAATTCTCTGGGTCCAAGCAACCTATAAGCACATGGAGGATGTGAATGATTATTCTAACTAGATAGTAGATACAATAAGAGCCAACTTTACATGAATAAACACCAAACATTGAGTGCATTGAATTTAACAATCTCAGGCTGCCATCAAGGTTCACTTTACTATAGTTTCATAATCAAAGTTGTAATTAAGGTCTTTCACTCTCTCCAGACTAAACAAGACTCCATATGATGAAAAAACCTAGTGTTAAGAACTAATGCACTTTGATAAGAAGAATATTTATAATAAAATGTGTTTATAGTATTACAACAGAAAGTATCTAGTAATAATCAGTCAGAAAATGCCACTGGCAACTTTACAACACATAAGACGGTCACCCATCTATAGTGATAAAGCTTTGCTATATCCCCCTTCAAATCTTCCTACTACTTTACAAAGCATGAATTAAATGAAAAGGTCATGGGTTTATTATCTTAAAAACATAAAAAGAAGAAGTCGCATCATACTTTCTTCTGAACAATCCTTAAGACACTCAAAACATGAAATCTGACAGTGGAAACTCTAATTAAGATCAACCACCATGTAACAAACCTAGGCAACAAGGCAGAGCAAGTTGTCTAGAATAAGGAACCGGAAAAGTATCCAGCTAGTTCCATAATGTTAATATTCGAGAATTTCTAGTGTGGGGGAGCATAATAATAAAAGAAAAACCTAAAATCCGAAAGTCATCAAACATGCCTTTGACAAAAAAATTCAGCCTGAATCATTTGACCAATATTTCTTAACACGAATCCCCACCAAATTAAAAGGATGTGTTACTAATCAATCACTCATCAGAAACAGAAAAAGTCAATAGTGGAGATAAACATGCAACATCAAACAAACAGAACTGAAGCCCAGGATAGCTCATATCACGAGCCATTCCAATAAAATTCAAATTAAAGATGCTACACAAATACAATGAGCATTTTCCATGCAGTAACTCACGCCAAATTAATGCTGGTAGGAACACACACTATTGATCTTTCCTAACATACAAGGACCTACCTCCATATCATTAGCAATGTTAAATACGTGAACAAAACTGATTAAAAACAATATTTGAAAAAAATAATTTAAAAACTATATTGTTGGGTCTTCTCTTACTAGCAGAACCAAGACAAAGAAGACCCAAAATTCAAAATCCCTAGAAAATGAAAAGTCATTGGCAGCATCGCCCCAAATGCATAAATCAAAGCAGAAGCATGAAATTGCAAATGGGAAACATATGAAATTGAAAAAATCAAACCTTTGGTCTTCTTAGACGAATAGAGATAGATAGCACCAACCCCAATGGCTACAACAGCCACAGCCACACCCACAAGTATCTGGTTTTCTGGTGTTTGTAAAAAATCCATGATTTGAATAATGGACAATGGGTTTGTGAGTGAGGAAGGAAAAAGGGAAATGGGAAAATATAAGGGAAAGGGTGTTGGTAGGTGGAAAGGGTTTTGAAGGAATTGTGGGTAGTGCTGAGGGATCTGGTGCAACTACCAACCTCTCTCTCACACACACTTATTTCCAATGGAGAAGTGTATACCAATTCAATGTCATAAATTTTAGTACATCTTTCTTATCAGCTAGCAAACACACTTCTTTAAAGACAATTTTAATTATTCAATAAATTAATTAAAAATAAAAATTACTCATTCTAATCTTTTTTTATAAGAAATAAAAAACTAAATTATTATAATTAAAAAATAATAATTTTATTATATTTTTTATAAATATAAATTTTATTTTAAAAATATCTATGATATTAAATGGTATAGTTAATAATTTATATATTTAATAATATTAATAAAAAAATATAAAAAAATTTAATAATTAATACATCTTTAATTTATCATTTGTTTCTTATATTAAAGATTAAGAAAATATTTTATTTTATTTTTTATAAAAAAATTAAAAAGAGTATTAAATTAAAAATAAATTTTATTTTTAGTAGTTTTAATTAATAATAAAATTATAAAAATATATGTTATTAATTTTTTTATAAATTTTATTAATCTCAAATTTTAAAAAAAAATTACTATTATTAATGATTTAACTTTCTTCATAATTTTTTTTATTTGTCATTTTTTTATCGGTTTTCCATGTTTGACCTTTGAACTGAGTTAGTACGTTTGTAAAGTTGAAATAAATGAATTCCTCGTTTGAAAAAAGAGTAACAATGTCGTCAGAATGGGTTCACAGATATTGGAAAGCTTTTGTAGAGATAAACTATACACGTTTTATTAATATTTTAAATAAGTATATTGCGTCTTAATTAAAGAATTAAAAGTAAAAACCTTTTAGTAAAGATTATGTTAGATTTTTTTATTTTAATTATTTAATTAGTACTCTTATACATTTTTTTAAATTGATGAAATAAATTTTTAGATAATCATTCAGGTACAAATTAAAACTTTAATTTTAAATAGTTTATATAGTGTGAAATTTGTTTTTGTATTTTATATAAAAAAAAATAGATGAAGTGAAATAGAAAAATCTTAAAAAAATTATTTTACATTAATAGAAGTAAGAATGAAATTTAAAATACAATAATACACTTAAATTGTATATAAAAATATAATATTCCTATAAAAATATTTAAATAAATCAATTTTTCCAGAAAATGTACGGTAGTGGGGGCCAATGAAATCAAGCAATTTGACGTGACTCTTTGAGCCCAACTAAATCGTTGCTCTAATTTTACTCCTTCAAATTTTAATCATTTATACTTCAATGAAAATAATAATTCTTGTTATGCGTTTAAAGACATATGTTATAAAAATTTAAAATAATTTTTATGAAAATTATATTAGTTAATATTATTTATTTTTAATAAAATTTATTGTCTTTAAATTTTTATTATATAGTTTTGGACATGCTTTAAAATAATTATTAAATATTTTTATTTTTCATTTAAGATATAACTTATTGGTTTACTTATTTAATTTTATAAATATTTTTTAAAATACAATATAAATTTAAGATATATAATAAAAATTTTCAGCCTATTTATTTAGCTTTTAAAATTAAATTTACACATCTTTCAGTATGAATAACTTTTTCATAAACAAAGATTTATCGAAAGTATAATGTGTCATAAACTGGTTGAGGCGCACGTGGTTTCATAATTGACATCGATAAATTAATTATTTTAAAAGATGAAATATAATTTTTAATAAATATATAAATAGATTTTTTATTGATATTGATAAATTAATTATTGTTTTTATTAAAAAAATAGAGTATTAAAGTATTGAGGCGCACGTTGTTTTGGCTTCTAACTAAATCCACTTAGTAGTTTGTGACGCAAATGGTTTTGCTAAACCCGCATTCAGTTGTGGTTGTGTGAGCTGCATGCATCAAACCCTCCAACGACACTTTAAATAAATAAATAAAATATATATATTAATTTCTCATACTTTCAAACACTTAAAAAATAAGATAAGTTTTATCTATTTTATATGATTACATTTTTTGAAAATTTAAATTTTCATATTGAATAAACTATATCCAAACCTCATCTTCAATAATACTAAATTGGTGCTCATGTACCATAATAGTAATAGAAGTTGCATTTATTCCTCTTCTTTTCTCATTACAATATCTAATCTCAAAATTAGATTAGAATGGAGTAACATTTTGCTTCTTTGTGTAGCTATGTGCTTCTTTCATAAGTCACAATCGGGGCTGTATTCTTAAATGGCTAATGCACCTTTTTTAATTAGTACTAAATTTGTCTTTATAATATTTGCAAACAATTTTGTTTGCACTTTCAATTATTTTTATTTCATCAAAATCTGTTAAAAGCATTGTGAGTATATTACATCTAATTAATAAAATTCGACAAGTAATAATGAGCAAAGCAAATGAAGCTAAACAAGTGGGGGTGCTATTAAAAATATCATTCATCAAGGATATATTTGGAGCTATTAAAAAAAAAATTCGTGCAAAAGTTTAAATTGTCTAATAATCATGTTATTTATAAGTTGATATTACAATTCTTGATAGATTTAAGTAATAACAATATATTGCTTTAGATATATGTGATAATATTGATTGCATGATTAACGAGTATTAACAATAATTAATAAAAGTATATGTTGATGTTGTCAGTGAAAGTTTTTCAGTTTCATCGTAATTATTGAACTTAAATTTGTCATTGTAATTAAAATGGTAACGTTAATGAAGACAATGATTGTGCATTTAACCACATGCAGGAGTTAATAAAGTCATATTTGTAGTTCCAATTGTTACATTTTAAATGCTAATAAACTTTTATAAAGTATATGTTTACGTTATGACAACTTAATATTAGGAATTTATTGCAACGAAGAATTTGAATTTGATGATCACGATGAAATTTTTTCCTTTCCCACTACTATATGATACTGGAAAGGAACAACATAAATGGAAAAAAAATTAATAAATTCTTATACTGATTCGAATGGTAATTTTAATTCAAATTTTAATATATCTAATATTAGGAACTTTGTTTTGGTTGTTCTCCCACTTGCATCTCATCAAAGCCAATTAATAATAAGTAGTAAGAACCAATAAGTATGAGTGAAAAGCAAGATATATTTATATTTTTAGTGATTTCACATTATGATATTTAAATAGTAAAAATTATATTGGTATAGTTGTATTGCAGGTGAATTTGAAAGTTTATTTTAAAATTTAAGTGCACACTATATTTATATTAATTTGAAAACAACTTGATAGAAATTAATTTTTCATATTTGTATCAACCTAAATTATGACAATTGAGAGATGCATTGTAAAATACATATTATTGGACTCTAAGGAGAATGATCAAATGCTATAAAACATGATTAATGAGAATACTGTTAATTCTTTTTATGGTTGATAACCAGAGTAATGTTGCCAAAAAAAAATCAGGCTTATATCCAAATAAGATTGTACACATACATATGTCGATTCTTCAATTTCTCTAGATCAACAAAAATTAGATTCAAATAAAAGTTCATATATTCTTACTTTACCATTAATAAATTTTGATATAAATTTTTTAGATTGCTATGATGATTCAATAATTGGTCAAATAATAATTTTATCTAATATGTTTATTATTTAAAAATAAAAATAATATAAATTTGTGTGAGTGCAAAAATTTTATATGAAATTAATAAAATTACTTGAAATTAATTTATTACAAAGCTAAACTCATTTTATTTTTAAATAATGTTTGACATGTGTGTATGTAGTTTTTTTATATTTACAATGAACAAAAATAAAGACGTTGTGCAACTAAAAACATTACTTATATTTTGTAAAATCATATAGTTAGCTTCATTCATTTCGTCATCGTAATGAAATACTCTTAAAAATATTATGAGTCAATACATATTTATTAATCATTTCAAATATAATAATTAAACTTACATGAAAATATACAATAATTCATTAAAATATAAGTAGGGATTCATATAATTTCTATTGAAGTTTGATATTATTATTTTGAAGTTTCATAATGTCTTGACATGCATGGAGGCTTTCAATTCATTTATCAAATGCAAAAGGGCTCTTATTTGTAAATTTTATATTTCAACAGGCTTCTTTTATATAGAAATCAAAACATTAAGTAAGGAATTAGAAATAATTTTATATTAAAATATATTTATAATATGTATTTTAATATTTTTTTTAACATATACTCAAAGATATATAATAAAAACATATTATTATTAATTACTTATATTCAATCCGAACATTATCCTTCTCTTCCAACACATAATTGTCTCATGTCCTGCTTTCTATAATGACAACTATCAGCTTTCTTACAGAACTTTTGTACCTTAACGACATATTATATGTTTTAGGTTCATGTTGTACAATTGTAATTGTTATTGAAAAACATGGAGTGTTCTTTATTTATAATTGGTTATCGCCTATAAACAAAAGACAACAAGGCAGTTTTTTTAGTGTGTTATCAGCACACAACAAAAATTAATAATTTTCACTGTTTAATATACTAATAATTTTAAATATAATTTTTAATAAAATTTTACTATTTATTAATTTTTTTATTAAGAACCTTAGACACATTAAAAAAACTATTAATAATATAAGGACTTCAAGACATATTTTATTAAATAGTAGCAACATTCTTTGATGAAGAACTTTTAATAAATTTGAGTGTTGTATAATTAAGGAACAAACTTTTCTAAATTTAGAAACTAACTAGCTATTATTTAATAATAAGATTGATTATACAATGATACCCCCTCAAGTTAGAATGTGGATATCTAACGTTCCAAAGCTTGAATTTAAGATGTCTAAAAGGAACAGTAGTTAAGAGTTTTGTCAAGATGTCTACAATTTGATATTTTAAGGAAACAGGAAGAAGGTGAATGGTTCTATCTTGCACTTTGTTACGAAAAATATGGTAGTCCAATTCAACGTACTTTGTCCTTTCATGAAATACTGTATTAGATACAATGTGAATTGCTGCTTGATTATCATAATAAAAAAAACTATTGGATGTGCAGTTGTGATGTAGAAATCTAAAAGAATATATATGATCCATTAAG